GGGGGTCAGAGTTAGAACCCAGAGATTCATTCTTTTTGTTTTGTTTTGCTTGGGGGGCATCCCCAGTAGTGCTCAGGGGTTACTCCTGGCTCTGCACTCAGGAAGCGCTCCTGGTGGGCTTGGGGGAAACTATGGGATTCTGGGGATCAAACCTAGGTGTCCACCATGTATAAGATCAGCACCTTACCTGCTGTCCTATCCTTCCAGTCCCATATATAGGTCCATACTCAGCAGTGATGAGGCAGTCCTGGGATCCAACTCTGGGTCTCACCCTTGCTCTACCACTTGAGCTATCTCCCTGGCTCCAGACTTTGTATTTGGTATTTGTGTATGGATCACACTCAGCAGTGCTCAAGGCGTACTCCTAGCTCTGTGCTCAGGGATATCACTCCTGGTGGGCTTGAGGGCTCAGACCCTGTTGGCCACATGCAAGGCAAGAGATCTACCTGCTGTACTATTTCGCCAACCCCCAGCCTTTTTCAGAGGTCTTAAACCATTGCTACTTGTAGCCTGCAAGGCCAGACCACTGCAAGGCCAGACGCGATCAAGTCACTTCAATCCCGGGGAGTCGGAAAATGCTCCCGCCCCACCTGGATCAGCCCGTCCGCGCGCTTCCACGTGGGGGCGCTGACGGGTCGTGGGAAAGGTCGAGGCGCGGGTAAGGTGCGGACCCCCTTGCTGCCCCTTGGGGTGTGGAGCCCCACTGCGGGTCCGGTCCCGTCTTCTTCCCGGTTCCCGGCTCACGCCAGTGTGCGGGCGTCGGTCCAGGAGACGAGCCCCGGGCGGGAGGTGGGCAGTGTTCGAACCCCCGCACCCCGGGTCGAGGTGGGCAGCGGCTCCGCGCGGTGCCCGCCCGCTCCCGCGCTTGTCGCGGCTCCTTCCCTCCAGGCTGCCCCGCAGAGACCCCCCCCACGCGCTCTCGGCCAGGGCGCGCCCCGCCCCGCGGCCACCGTGCACACGGGGGTCGCATCCTGCCCCCGTACATACGCGGGGATCGCGCCCTGCCCCCGTGCACGCCTGGGGGTCGCACCCTGCCCCCGTGGATACGCGGGGGTCGTACCCTGCACCCGTACACACGGGGGTCGTACCCTGCCACTGTGCACATGCGGGCGCGCCCTGCCTCGATATCCCCCTCCCGGTGCGCCCAGGGGTCTTGCGCGCACACCCTCCCCCCCCCCGCGCCACTTCCACCCCCACTCGCACCCACAGCACTAGGCTACGCCAAAACGCACCCGCCCGCAGCACAGCCGGGGGTCTACCGTGGGGGCGGGGGCTCATCCCGCCCCCAGGCCCTGCCATCCTGTGCCCGCCCGCTGAGGGTAGCGGCCAGGCCCTGCTCCCGCCGCCTCGCCCTTCCTCCGACCGCAGCGCCCCAACCCACCCGGTGCCAGAGCCGCCAGGACCGGGCGAGGGGCCGTGCCCGGGTGGCCGAGGGCACCGGGCGGGGCAGCGGGCTCGGTCGCCTGCGTTCGGAGCGCCAGCGCGACCGCAGCCCCAAGGCCTCGCTGCAAATAGCGGCGGTTTCCAGCCTACAACCCGCCTCTGCCCCAGCCTTCCGGCCGGCCGTGGGGGATCTCCTCTCCTTTCTCCCCGGCCCCCTGCTCTGCACCTCCACCCCTCCCTGCCTTGGCACCCTGCACGTCCTGCCCATAACGCTGCTTGCGCCTACGCTGGGCGGGGCCAGGGGGCAAACTGGAGGGCAGCTCTGAGATCCCGGGTCTAAGGTCAAATGACACAAATGAAGTTGCGATTCACTGCAGTGTCCTGTGCCCGGGTCTGTGCTGAGATCTTTAAGGGCAGGAACTGGCAGTTTGACCACTCTCCCAATGAGGGAGGGCTCTGATTTGCACATGGAGAAACTGAGGGTCAGAGCGGCCCTTAGTCCTAAGCTTGAACCCAGCGCGCCTCTAGGCGCAGGCTAAGGCTCAGGTGTGAGGGCTGCTACCAGTTCTCAGTGTGAGGTCACAGACCTACCCCCACCCACCACCCTTGTCTCAGTCGCCGCAGTGAGGGCCACTGAGAAGCAAAAAATATTTCCTCCAAGGACTTCTAACTACGAAGCAAAGTTCAAATGGAGGGGCCAGAGCAATAGTACAGTGGGGAGGATGTTTGCCTTGTACGCGGCTGACCTGGGTTTGATCCCCGGCATCCCATATGGTCCCCCAAGCACCGCCAGGAGTAATTCCCAAGTGCAGAGCCAGGAGTAACCCCTGTGCATCGCTGGGTGTGACCCCCCCCCCCAAATAAAATTAAAGTAAAGTAAGTAAAAGTAAAGTAAAGGCCCTCCCGTTGATCGTCGATTTGCTCGAGCGGGCCCAGTAACGTCTCCATTGGAGACTTTGTTGTTACTGTGTCTGGCATATCGAATACTCTCGGTAGCTTGCCGGGCTCTCCGAGAGGGGCGGAGGAATCGAACTCGGGTCGGCCATGTTGGCCGCTTGTAAGGCGAACGCCCTACCCGCTGTGCTATCGCTCCAGAAACCAAAGAAAAAAAAGAAAGTAAATGAATAAACTTAAAAATTAAAAAAATAAAGTTCAAATGGAATGGGAAGACCTGAGTTCCCTGTCTGGGCAAAATTTCCATGGGAGCAAAGGGGTAACGGGGAGCAATTTACCCCCAACCCCTCCACAGCGGTGCTTATGCACCTTTTACTTTGTGAGAACCTATGTGCCAAGTGCACAAATAGCCCAGCCCAGTGGGGCTGGCCCCTTCCGGGGAAATAGAACAATCACCCTTTTCTGGGGGCACAACCTCCAGCCAGGCACTGCAGCCCAGTGGGCAGAGCACCTCTGAGCTTCATCTGTACCAGGCCCCTGGGCACCCTGTCTCACTGGGGACCTGCAGAGATGAGAGAGGTGGGGGGCGGGGGGGTCAGAGAGCCCAGAAAAGGGCTTTCAGGAACACAGGTAGGGAAGCTCACTAGGCAGGTGTTCTTGCAACTGAACACTTTACGATGAGCAGGAATGTTTCAGATCTCTATCCCAGGCCCAAGCACAGAGTTGGGGCGCCCTGCACAAAGTGTCCTGGGTCAGGGAATGGCTTTGGAGTGGACTGGAGAAGGGGACATTATACCCACACAGACCCAAATGAGTGCAGTTAATCTGCCCAGCCAGAGTTTCTCCTGGACTGGCAGAGGCTGAGGGACAGGGCCCTCATCTTCTGCGTCTTCGGTGCTCCGTGCCTCACCCCGTGTCAGTTATAGTAACAGTAATCATAGTTAACAGCTATTAAATATTAATCATTATCCACTGTGCTAAGTGGTTCGTAGGCATTATCTCTTTCAGCCACAGACAACCTTGGAAATAAGTGCTATTATTAAGCCTGCTCTACAGATGAGGAGTCTTGGATTTGGAGGAGTTGAGTAATGTGCCTGGGAGGCTGGGGAAATCGTTCCACGGGTTGGAATGCACGTGCTTTGTGCGCGAGGCCTGGGTTTGGGTTGGGTTCCCAGCATTCTATGATCCTTGGACGCCACAAGATGTGGGGGGAGAGGAAAAGGAGGGACGAATGGAGAGAAAAGACAGAAAAGAGAGGGGAGGGATCAGGAAAGAAATAAACATGACAACACACACAGCTATTTAGTGGTAGAACTAGGATTGGAATCCAAATCTCTGATCACAGACCCCCTTATTCCACATAATGGAGGAAAGGGAGAGCAGGTGAAGGGATGGATGGATGAGTGGGTGGATGGGTGAATGGATGGATGGATGGATCCATGGAATAAAGGGTGGATGGATGGATGGGTGGGTTGATGGATGGATGGATAGATGGATGGAAGGATGGGTGGACAGATGAATGGGTGGGTAGATGGATGGATGGATGGATGGATGGATGGATGGATGGGTAAATGGATGGGTAAATGGATGGATGGGTGGATGAATGAGTGGATGGATGGATGGATGGATGGATGGATGGATGGGTAAATGGATGGGTAAATGGATGGATGGGTGGATGAATGAGTGGATGGATGGATGGATGGATGGGTGGATGGGTGGATGGATGGGTAAATGGATGGGTAAATGGATGGATGGGTGGATGAATGAGTGGATGGATGGATGGATGGATGGATGGGTGGATGGGTGGATGGATGGGTGATAGAGGGATGGCAAAGTGGCTGGATGGGAGATGGAGTGAACAAAGGCCTTGTATACCCCTCTGAGGAGCTTGAACTTGATGTCATGGGCAATGTGGCAATACTAGAAGAATGCAGAGACAGGTCAGACAGGACTTTAAAGGGATCACTTTGACAAGCAGCTGGAAGAGAGTCTAATGCTAATGACCTAGACTTGTGGCCGGAGGTCATTTTTCTGGCAAATCCCAATTTCAGTTTGTGGGGAGCCTTAGGAGGCTTTTTCAGAAGCTACATCTAAAGGCCATAACGTTAATACAACAGGTAGGTGCTTGTCTTGCACGTGACTGAACCAGGTTTGGTCCCCAGCATCCTATATGTCCCCTGAGCCCTGCAAGAGTGACCCATGAGCACAGAGCCAGGAGTAAGCCCTGAGCACTGCCAGGTGTGGCCCTAAAACAAAACAAAACAAATCCCCAATAAAACAAAGCCTCATCAGAGCCCTGTGTTATTTCTCTGAGGGCAGGAAATGTGTTTCTCTGCACACTTAGGAATGCCAGAAGGAGGGGAAGCTGAGGAAGGAGCCCAGGCAGTCTGGGGAAGAGCAGGGGGAAATACTGGCTAAACTCTGAGGAGGGGCCTCTGTAGAAGGGGGCAGGAGCCACGCAGCCATTTCCAAGATGGCAAAGACCACCCCCTCCCGTCTGCCAGTCAGGAAGCTGGAAGCTCCAGGCCCGAAACCCAGCCCCGCTGTGCACCTGCCCACTGGGCACACAGCCAGTGGCAAGACGGGGTTGCATCAGCCCGCTAAGCCCCGGAATCAGGCGTGGGGCCTCCTTCCCAGCAGCACCCCAGACCATTGGTCTCTCCCGCTGGGTGGGAGGGGAGGAGCGGAAATGACCCGGGTCAGATAAGCTAAGAAGCAGGCTAGCGGGCAGGCTGAGAGGGGCTCCTGAGCCCCAACCCTCAGCGCACACCATGCTGCCCGGCCTCGCCCTGCTCTTCCTGACCGGGTTGTCTGCCTGCGCCGTGGCGCCAGACAAGGAGCTAGTGCTCAGCGAGGAAGCAAGGCCCTGGATAACCATCACCCTGGAGGTACCTTTAGGGAGGGAGTGGACGGTCCGTGGCCAAAAGGGGTGTGGGATTCCTCTTCCATGGCTTCCAGAGCAGCGGCCCTCTGCCAGGCAGGCCAGCTGCTCCCTGGGGTATGTTTAAGATCGGCATGTGTACATATGCGTGTGTGTGTGCATGTGTGCATGTGCGTCTGTGTGTCTGCATGTGTGTGTATGTGTGTGCGCGTGTCTGAGTGTGTGTACTTGTGTGTGCGTGCATGTGCGTCCGTGTGTCTGCATGTGTGTGCATGCGTGTATGCATGCGTGTATCTGTGTGTGCGTGTATGTGTGTGTGCATGCGTGTGTCTTTGTGTGTGTGTGTTATTCAACATACTCTCTCTTTCTGGCTCTGTTTATAGACATGCTTACTATATACATGTTTACCCGTGTAAGCTTCCTAGCAGCCATATGGGAAAAGCATGATTATTGTCCCTGGACAAGTAAACTGAGGCACAGAGAAGACACATCATCTAGTCAAGGTTGTACAGCTCCAGACACAACATAACTCACCTTGCCCATGCTCTGATTCTTTGTGTCTGCTGCTTGGGGATCTCCTGAGATCTCCTTTCCAGGGGATCCTCTTGGTGCAGGATCCCACTTCTTCCAAGCTCTGACATGCTCTGGCTCGAGGCGCAGAAATGCACTTTTGGGGGCTGGAGCAATAGCACAGCGGGTAGGACATTGGCCTTGCACACAGCCTACCTGGGTTCTATTCCCAGCATCCCATATGGTCCCCTGAGCACAGCCAGGAGTAATTCCTGAGTGCAGAGCCAGGAGTAACCCCTGTGCATCGCTGGGTGTGACCCAAAAACAGCAAAAAAAAACAAACAACAAACAAACAAACAAACAAAAAACACATGCATTTCTTGCCCAGCCCTGCTCAGCTGGCCCATTTCCTCCTACTCTCTCGTTGGAGCACTGGCACTGGGAATGATCTCCAGGCACAGCTCCTGCCTGAAGGGAAAGGCCGTGGACCAGACCCACTGCACCAGAGCTCACGCATGGTTTCCAGGAGCTCCGGCCCCCACCCCCAAGTTTCCAGACAGTAATGACCCTTCTGGGGCCAGGCAGAGCCAGGGATTATCACTGGGGTTCCTCTCCTTCTGGGTCTGTCTGGACGGGAAGTGTGTGCAGCTGAGGAGTTAGACCGGAGAAAGACTCAGGTTTAAGGCTCAGTTTCTCTGCTCGCTCTGCCGGGCCCTGGAATCCTCACTACCACTCCTCTCTGGCCTGTTCAGCTCAAAGAGGACCAACAGGGAGGCGATGGCCAAGGCCGCTTCTTCCAAACTCTGATGTGCTTTAACGGGTTAATGTCAGAGGAACTGGCAGGGGCACGGAGCAGCTGAGTGCAGAGTGTGGCCACCAGGGAACTCAGCTAATGCCACCAGCCTTCTGCCCACGAGTACCTCATGTGACTGTTTCGAATGTGTGTTCCCCTCCCGCTCTGCGTCCCGAGACCAGGGACTGAGCACATACACTACAGGTGTGGTCATCAGTGGCAGCAAGGTGGGGGGGAGGAAGGTGGCATTCCCAGCCTCAGGACCCCTTGCTCTCAGGGCTATCCCATCCGCAGCCATCCCTGGGGCTGGCCCTTTGGGTGGAAAGATGAGGAGGGCAGGAAGAGGAGCAGATATCTCCCAAAGCCCCTCCTCCCCCAAAGCCTGCAGGGGGCGGGGTGGGGAGGAAGGTGAGACTTTCTCAATTCCTAAGTAGCCATTGCCTGCTGCTCGCCTGTGAGGGCTGCCTTTTATGGAGGCAAAGTGGTTTTTCACAAGCTTTTTAGAAGTGAGTTCAAATCTCCAGAGACTTCTGGTTCCTGGCCAGCCGAGGTGACCCCAGCTCCAGGCAACTGCCCCCACCACTGACATCCAAGGGGAGGAGACAGATGGGAAGTGACAGATTGGTCCAAGGCCTAGAAAACAATTCTTTCCCAGTCTTGGTAGTGGATGAGCTGACGGTTGGGGGGGGAGAGGGGAAGGGATGGGGGGGTCTTCTCAGGGGCTCTGGCTGGTGCCCCAGCAGGGTGGGGCCAGAGAGGCCTGAACTGGGGCTGAGGAAGGGCCCAGATTCAACCCCGTGTGACTCTGGGGCTCCGTTGGTTTGTCAGCCATCCTCTTCCCCAGAGGGACCCTCACTCAGCTTCCTGTGCCCACCATGTGCTGAGCTCCTGTGGGGTCCCGGCACAGGGCCAGCGCTGGGGCCACAGATGCACAGGCGGTCTCATGAGCACCACCCATGGGCCCTTCTCCTTTTTCCAGCTACAACAACCAGGAGGCACCTGGAGAAGTGAGCACTGAAGTGCTGGGCCCTCACAGGGGAGCGTCAGCCCTGGGCTCACCAATGGGAAAGTGCCCTCATGCATACATGCCAGGGCACACAAGCCAAGGCTCTCGGAGGGAAAACCCAGGACAGGGGAAGAGGGAGCGCAGGGGACAATGGCTGGTGGGGATGGGGGAGGCAGTCCCCATCAACTGCCCTCTGTCCAGGGGGGGAAGACACTCCCCGAGATGGAGTCGACCCCACACTGTCAGGATTGGTTGAGGTTGAATGCTGCCTCGTCCACTTCCTGCGTGGCCTCATCTCCCTCAGCCTGTGTCCCATTCCCTCAGTCAAAAGCAGATCAACTGGGGGCTGGAGTGATAGCACAGCAGATAGAGCATTTGCCTTGCACACAGCTGAGCCGGGTTCAATTCCCAGCACCCCATATGGTCCCCTGAGCACTGCCAGGAGTAATTTCTGAATGCAGAGCCAGGAGTAACCCCTGTGCATCGCCAGGTGTGACCCAAAAGGAAAAAAAAAAAAGCAGATAAACTGCCGTGACAACTTGGGGTGGGGGGAGGACTGTGAATAAGGGAGACCCCTGGGTTTGTGCTTTGGAGCCACCCATGCTTCTGTGCTTGCTCCCTTTCAGTGCCTGACTGGTGACACTGGACAAATCAGGGTCCTGGGTGCCTCCATGTTTTCCTCTGGGCAGCAAGGCCAGGAGTAGGCGCTTCCTTCCTAAGTTTTTCTGTGCGTGTGTCTGGGGAGGGGTGGGGGTGGTCGCTGAGTTTCTGTGGGCTGTGGCAGGAATGCTGCGGGGGAGATGCAGCATCCCACCCTGAGTGAGGTGCAGGGTCGGTAGCGGGACTGCAGGTCACAAACGCGGCTAACGGGCTAACACCCCTGTCTCCCCAGGAAGGCGCCCTCCCCAGCATCCAGCTTCAGCTGCAGGAGGTGAAGAGGGGCAAAGCGAGACAGTTCTTTGGATTGATGGGCAAGCGGGTGAGAGGTGAGTGTCGCCCAGCTAGGGGGGTTCTGGTGGTGCTGGTAGTGGGCAGAGGCCCTGGCAGGAAGCCTAGGGCCCAAGTGGCTACGGTCTAGCAGGGATGTCCTGTTTCTGGGGTGCCCAGAGAAACAGGCTCCAAATCAAGACACTGGGGGAGTGTCACAGCAGGATCTGGGGCTGGCTCTTGTTCCCCAGGAGGAGAGGAAGGACACCTGGGGGTGGACACTCTGCACCCCACGGTGCCTTTGTCTTCCAGACTTGACGGCCCCCATGTCCCTAACTGGGTGTCATGACACCAGACTCAGAGGCCAAATGGTACAACAGGGGGGTCACAGCAAGGTAACACGATAGGGAACCAGAGGACAGCAGCGGTGGAGCTAAAAGTCATCTCGCTGTGAGCAGACACAGGACGCACTTTCTAGTCAATTGTTTGGTTCAGATAGAAACTTCCACCTTTATTTGGGGGGGGGGGAGATTGGGGGCACCCAAGCAAGGCTTGGGGACCTGAGGGCCACTAGTGGCTATATTAATATCTACCAACTGGGTCAGATGGTCAATGCTTGGTCCCTCTGGGGGCCTCAGGGCCATGCCTCACAGTGGTAAGGAGGGCCCTGGGGCACTGGGGATCAAACTCAGCTCCTTGCTCCTGAAAGGCACCCCAGAGCCATCTCCCCAGGCCCTCAAACTGAATTATTGGAATAGACCTGGGCTGGGCTGAGGGGAAAGCTCAAAGGGCTGGAGGGACTGCCCCAGGTTTGATCCCTGGCACATGGTCCCCCAAACACTGCTGGAGATCGAATCCCAGCACTAGGTGTGGTGCCCAAGCAAAAAAAACAAAACAGGGGCTGGAGCAATAGCACAGCAGGTAGGACATTTGCCTTACACATGGCTAACCCGGGTTCGATTCCCAGCATCTCATCTGGTCCCCTGGGCACCGCCAGGGGTAATTCCTGAGTGCAAAACTAGGAATAAACCCTGTGCATCACCGGGTGTGACCCAAAAGGCAAAACAAAACAAAACAAAACAAAACAAAACCAAAAAAGCAGAGAACAGCTGTGGCAGCCAGAGTGCTTATATGCCATCCATCTGGCGCAAGTAGTGGCAATATCTATTACAGTGGAGATGCATTTTGACCAGTAGTCTCTCTCCAGCAGAAATGCTATCTTGGGCCAGGGGCGAGCACATGCCTCATCTGTGGGTTCCATCTCTGATACCAAAAATTGCTACTGAGAGGCCAGAGAGAGAATACAGGGGTAGGGGCTTGCCTTGCATCCTGCCAAGTCTGCTTTATTCCTGGTACTGTGTACAGTTCCCCAAGCAAGCACCACCAGAGGGCACTGTGGAACACAGAACCAGTAATAGCCCTGAGCACTGCTGGGTGCGGCCCCAAACCACACACACACACACACACACACACACACACACACACACACACACACACACACACGACTGCTCTACTACTTTTTTTTTTCTTCCTGTTTTGGGGGCCTCCGATGGCACTCAGGTCATGCAGGGGCCTCTGTTGTGGATTCCTGACCTTCCTGACCAGCTGGGCTGGTGCATCAGTGTGAGTGTTGGGCCCTGAAGTGCTGGGGACACCCAGGTCACCCAAGCAGTGCTCAGGGGACTCCAAGGCTGTACCTGGCAGTGTTCGGAGGGGACTGTGCAGTTTCAGGGATTGAACTGGGGTCAGCCATATGCAGGGCAAGCACCTTCATTCATCGTATCCACTGTCCAGCCTGGAGAACATGCAGTTGATCTCCACACATATACAGATGCATAAAGTTCTAGGACATACATCCAGATGCCAACAGTGGCTGCAGTAAGGCTAGGAAGTAGAAGTGAGAGAGAGGAGCTCTCTCTTTACTGCGTAAGACTCTAATGTTTTTTGTTTTGCGTTATTATTATTATTTTTTTTTCTTTTTGGATCACACCTGGCGATGCACAGGGGTTACTCCTGGCTCTGCACTCAAGAGCAACTCCTGGAGGTGCTCAAGGGACCATATGGGATGCTGGGAATCGAACCCGGGTTGGCCAGGTGCAAGGCAAACGCCCTACCACTGTGCTATGTCTCCAGCCCCATGTTTTGTTTTGTTTTTTTAATATACTGGCTATGTATTCAAAGACTGGTTTTGTAATATTTTTTGGTTTGTTTTTTGAGATTCACCTGGTGGTACTCAGAGCTTACTCCTGCCTTTGCACTCAGGAATCACTCCTGGAGGGGGGCTGGGAGACCATATGAGATACTGGGATTGAACCTGAGTCACTCAGGTGCATGGCAAACACCTTACCTGCCGTATTATCTCTCTGGTCCCAGTCACATTTCTTTTTTCCCATTTTGGGCCACACCTGCGGTGCTTTGGGCTTATTCCCAACTCTGTACTGGGGGATCACTCCTGGTGGACCATACACTCGGTTTGGCTGTGTGCAAGGCAAGTGCCCTGCCTGCTATGCTATCTCCCCAGCCCCCCAAATTCCTAAAATCCACAAAAACAAGAGGGAAAAAAACATCTTGTGACCAAACCCTTTTGGTCTGAGTTCTCTCGTGCACAAAATGACTTTTGGATGGAGTCACTGCTGAGTAGAAAGGGGATTAAAGAGCACTCTTCCTGAACACAGGCTGTACTCATGCATCATCTCCCCACGACACCCCTTTTATCACCATCGGGGAAACTTCTCCCCCTAGAGTCCCCAGTAATGGAGGGTTGGTGCGCCCACTCCTGCACAATGCCTCCTCCTCTCACGAGTAGAGTCCAGCCTCCCCAAGACCCTGGGGCATGACAGGCCTCAGTGGTGAAGGTCAACAGAGGCCTGGGACCACAGAGAGCCAAGGAAGTAGGGTAAGCCTGTTTTTCTCTCTTTCCCCCAGGAAACCCTCCCATCCAGTCAGAAAGAATAGGTAAGTTTTGCGACTCTCCCTACAAGCTCCCTGGGACATGCAGAATTTATTTGGGGACTGTGTTTTGTTTTGTTTTTGGCCCACATCCAGCTGTGTTCAGGACTCCTGGTTCTGCACTCAGGAATCACTAGAGGTGGGCTCAGGAGACCATCTGGGGTGTCGGGGATTGAACCTGAGTTGGCTCCCGTGAAAGGCAAGGACCTACCTGCTGTACTCTCTGATGGGGCATGCAAAATGTCTCTGGGCAGAAACAGAGGATGGCGGAAGGGGAAAGCCCCTCATCAAGCCATCCCCACTTCCCCGTTTCCTCAGAACGGTGGTCTCTTCATGTCTATATGAAGACTGGATTGACTTAAGGCTCAAAGTGACTAGTTCTAAAGCCTAAACTTGGAAAATGAATCTATCCATTCCAGCACACGAAGAGGTTTTTTTCCCCCTAGGGTGTCACACCAGCATTGCTGAGGGACTGTGTGGCTGAAGCCACGCCTCTTGCATGCCAGCATGTGCCCCAGACCTATCAGCCAGCTCCTGAGAATCTTGAAAGTGCCTATTGGAGCCTAGAACCCTTAATTTAAAAAAAAAAAAAGAGGACTAGAGATAGAATAGAGTGGGTAGAACACTTCCCCTGCAAGCAGCTGACCTGGGTTCCGTCCCTGGCACCACATACGGTCCCCCTGAGCACTGCCAGGAGTGATTCCTGAGCACAGTCGAGTGTGCCCCTAACCCCCCTGTCCCCACCACACCCCCTTCTCTGCTCCAAAGAGGGAGATCAGGAGTAAGATCGGAGCAAACCCACCTTCCCCTACTTTGTTCCCCGGACAAGTCCAATGTCCTGACACCGTTCTCCAAAGCTGTGCTCAAGAATGTGACTCACTGGCCCCTCGCCCTCCGCAATTTCTGCCTTCTCTGCCAGAGCTTATCTCCTTTGCCTAGACACTCTGCACCACAGTCCTGCTGGGTGACAGCCTGTGTCCCCAGCCAGGCCTTTCCTCAGTGCCCACCCGCCCCCCCACCACCCCATGGGCAGGTCCTATTGGAGGCACCACTAGCAGTGAAGGAAAGGCAGTGGGAGGGAGGACAAGAAGACAGAGAGAATGGAAACAGGCTGACCGATCCTGGCCTCTCTGAAGCCCCTCAGAGCACTGAGAAAGGGCTGTGAAGAGGCGGCCCTTGACCCCCAGGCCGCCCTCACCTGCTGATTCTCTTCCTCCCTCACTAGGGCGCCAGGGAGAACAACTGCCACAGGACCTCGTGGGCAGGACAGGACCTTCCGCAGAAGGTCGGTGAGTGCCTGGAGGGGGCTTCCAGGGCATCTTGGGAACGGGGCCACTCTGCTGCCCATCTCCATGGTGGGGGCTGGACGGAGCAGGCTTCTCTGCACGGTCACTAGGCAGAGGCCCCAAGGACAGTCCAGGTGCAGCTGGTCCCTCCTGGGACACTCCAGGCCGCCTGAACTAGCCAAGTTCTGAGGCTCTGCCCTCTCCTCCTGCAACGGTGCAGGTCATAGCCCCAGAGCACCAGCACGAGAGCAGAGAGGTGAGGCAGGCTGGGGGGAGGGCACCCTCATGCCCGCCACACAGAAAGGCAGAAGCAACGCAGCTGGTGAGGCACTGAGCCCCCCACATGCCGTCCCACTCTGTCCCCCCGAGCTTGGCGCCTTCATCCTAGCCCAGGCTCTTGGGAAGCAAGGTCAGATGGGGACCCCTTCTATTTCCCCTGGGACTTCTGCTTTGGGGCCACACTGGCAGCTGCTCCTGGCTGGGTGGTGGGGAATCCCTCCTGGCCATGCTCTGGCAGGGATCAAAGCCGGGACTCCATGCACAAAGCACACACAAGAGCACTTCACCAGTGCTCTTGTCCTCTGCTGAGATTTCTAAACGCTGGAGCCATTTCCTTAAGCGGGCTACGAAAATCACCCGATACCAAACAGAAGTCGGAGTCCTCCTGCCCCCAACGTCCACCCCCTGCCCTGGGCGCCGAGTTCCTGCCCACGGCTAAGGGCAGGAACGGGAGCAGGCTTCCTTTGCTGGGGCTAGAAGCAACGTGCCCGGGGTCACACAATGAGCTGCCCACAGTCACGCCAAGAGCTGTCTCCCGTTTTCTGGTCCACAGCACTCTCCTTATCCCCAAGTGGGGGGGTGTCTCTGGGCTCTGCATGGGGGATTGCCACCTTCGTTTCTGGATAGCAAGGGGCTGGGGCTGATGGCTGAGCGAGGAGACAGTGGCCGAGGAACCTGGTATTCCACTGCAGTGGGAGAAATGGGGAATGGGGAAGGCCCTGTGGGGAGGGGTGGTCACTAACCACTGTGCCTGTGAAGAACTCTCCCCAGGCAGAGAAGATGAGGAGCAGGGGCCAGAGTGAGACCCCCACCACCCGCCACCTGCAGAACGGACCCCCCTTTTCCCGACCTGGACATTAAAGCAGACCAGCCGCCTGGCCAGACACCTTCCCTGTCTCCTGGGCTCCCTGCGGGCATGTCCCCCAGGCTGCAGGAAAGCCTGGGTTCCTTGGGGCCTGGCCTCGGGTGGCCACCGTGCACTCAGGGTGCAGCTGGAGTGACCCGCCCTGCCCTCCTGCGTGGGCAGCCCCATCTCCGCGCTGCATAGCAGGAACGCTTATTGCGCCCACCTCGACTCTGTGCCCGGAACATGGCAAGGGCTCAATAAATGAATGCTGAGCGAATGGCGTCTTCTCTGGCACTGGACAGAGGGCAGGGTGGGCTGGGCACATCCACAGGTGACCTTTCCCATCACAGGAAAGGAAATTTCCCTCGGTTTGGGGAGCTCGGGACAGAGGTAGAGACCACAAGGAGATGGGGCAGAAACCCTGCGGGCTGAGGCGGTGGTGCTGGCATGGGGGCAAAAGGGGGCAGGAACTGTGACGTTCACTCAGCTCCCTTTGTGGGACCCCTTGGTTCTCTTACAGTCCCCTGCCCTGTGGGCTTCTAGGAGACCCCAGCCTGAAAGCACCACCGGCTCCCACAGTCATAATCCCAAGGATCCCAAAGCCCCAGTACTAGGTCCTTCACCGGCTCTCAGGCACATGGTTCTCCCACCAAAGACTCCATTCTGGGGACACGATTCCCATCATGCTGAGTGCAGGGTCGATGAGCCAGAGCCCAGCATGCCCTTCTGATGGGGGGCCACTGTCCGGGCCCCAGCGGCTCAGAGCCAGGTCAGAGACACAGTGAAACTTAGAGCACACAGCTAGGTAATGAGAACCAAGGGGTCCCACAAAGGGAGCTGAGTGGACATCACAGCGATGGGCGGTTCCTCCACCACGAGCCCTTACACTTGTTTCCTGTGTCTTGATCCTTTTCTCACGGGTTGCTGCCCCTTGTTCAATCCCTGGCATCACAGGGTGGCCTGAGAACTGCTGGTACTATAGGACTACCAGAGCAGGACTACCATCTCAAATCCCCACATTGAACCCACCAGTCCAGTTGGCTAGGAAATGCCAGGAATAGTCCAGGGACCCCTGAGCACCAGCTGGGAATCCTTTCTCCTCCAAAGGAATGGATTACAAGTTTTGAGATTTGGGGACCGGAGAGATAGTACGGTGGGTAGGGGTGTTTGCGTTGCATGCAGCTGACCTGAGTTCAATCTCTGGCACCCCATACGGTTCTCTGAGCACTGCCAGGAGTGAGCCCTGAGCGCAGAATCAGGAGTTTTGGCATTGCCAAAAATTGCTGAAGACCAGAAAAGATTATTTCAGATCTTACTGGCAAGAGTGGGGCTGGGATCAGCCTCTTACATGCAAAGAACACATTCAGTCCACTGAGTCACTGCTCCCTTGTTGGGGCGTGGTCACACTGGGGCACCGGGGGAGAGGGAGGCCCTTCATCTAGGTGCAGCGGAGGCCAGAGTGGGTGCAGACAGCCAATGAACCCCCACCATTCAAGCCAGGCGTTGTTCTCAGAGCAACTCTTTACCAAGTGCCTTGAACTAATCTCAGGTCTTGTCTTCATTCTGTCTTCTCCTTGTCAGTGAGAAATATGGGGCTGGAGACAAACCTGGCCAAACATCTCTGGACATGAAGCATTTCCCATAAATGTGCTTCGTTCCAACCACTCGTTCGTGCCCACTCCCAGTCCTGGCACACTTCCACTGCAGCATCGGTTAGTCAAGCCCCGACCACTCACCTCCCAACCTGCCCGGCGTCCCCAACGCCTTCCCCACCTCACCCCACCCGCTGTTTGCCCCAGGAGGTGCGAACAATCCAAGCTGAAGAGCCAAATGACTGAAGATTTTATTCTGTGTGTGAAGTTGGGTGATTTTTTTTTTTTTTTGAAAACCAAATCTACCAGATTCTTAGCAAGTTTCCCCTTGAGGCTGCACTCAGCTAGCATGTGGCTAGCCCTCCCTCCAGAGAGAAGTACTGGGGCTGAAATGGGCCCTGAGCCCCCAGAACCTTATCGAGGGGAGGGGGCTCTGCCAAGTTACCTCTGTTCTTCCGTATCCTTTCCAAGCCCACCACGGTCAGTTCTGGGTTTATTACTGCGAACGCTGGACTCCTCTGATTCTGGCAGACCCTCACTCAGAGGCGAGCGTCTCGGGAGAGGCTGCCCAGCCTGGGAACTACCAGTTGATGCTCACTCCCAGTCCTGGCACACTTCCACTGCAGCATCGGTTAGTCAAGCCCCGACCACCACCGCCAGCCCCTTGCAAAGAGGAGCTGCTTCCAGCACAGTCTGAGAATTCAACGTCTCCACACTGAGCTTGACCTACTACCCCAAAGCTCCTCACCAGCACACTCCTCTCTCCTCATGGCACCTCCATGTGGCCAATGGCCCAAATCTGAAATCTGGGAGCTACCTTCTATTATTTTGTTTTGAGGTCACACCCAACAGTGCACAGGGTTTTCACGTCAAACTCCTGGCAGGGTTCAGGGGACCATATGGGATGCAGAGGATCGAATCCAGGTCATTTGCATGCAAGGCAAGAGCTGGACCCGCTGTACTATGACTCCAGCCTAGCTCCCTTCATTTCCTCCTGCCCCTTCCCCTGCCTGGAGAGTAACCCTGCACCACTGCCGGATACCACCCCCCTACCCCCCAACCACCTTCCACCCAGAGCATGACCTTTGAAAATGGAAACTAGGCTCCTGGCCTTCCCCATTGGCCAGCTGTGATGAGTGACATTCCTTGGAGGCCTCCAGGCCCTACACGCACTGGGTGATCTTTCCCCTCCATCAGGCCTGCTCAGACGCCCTCAGAGCCAGAGCTTGCTGCCTTGGGGCCTGGACCCGGGTTCCACATGAACCCTGCCCTGGCCCCACTGCTCCTCCATCTCTGCTCTCCTAGGTCCCAGGCTCAAGTTAGGCCTTCCAGAAAGCGCCTTCTCCATAACCAAGTCTAACCAGTTCTCTCGTGAGCCCCCACATCGCTTCCTAATTCCCTCACGGCACCAACAATTTAGCAAGCAGGTTGCAACCTGTCTCCTGCAGGAGCCTCTTGAAGTTCCACATCTCTTGCATGCCACTCGGCGAACATTTCTATACATGTCAGGCATTCCACAAGACGTTTAACCTCGTAACTATTCTTTCTTCTTTCTGTTTCAAGTCATGCAAGAAATAGCCACCTCCCCCGCTGTTGGGTCTCGGCCCTCACTGTACAGGGAAGTCTCAAGTGGAATGGTCAGACTCCACATCCTTGTCCCGTGCCGCTTGGCTATGTTTATTTGAGTAGGCAGGAAAGCAACATCTTTTTTTGTTTTTGCTTTTTTTGGGTCACACCCAGCGATGCTCAGGGGTTACTCCTGGCTCCTCACTCAGGAATTACTCCTGGCGGTGCTGGGGATCGAACCCAGGTTGGCCACGTGCAAGGCAAATGCTCTACCCATTGTGCTATCACTCCAGCCCTGCCAATCTTTCTTTTCAGCATACAAGTTTTGTTTTTTGGGCCATACGTAGTGGTGCTCAGGGTATGGCCCGACAAACATTACTCCTGGCTCTGTTTAGAGATTACTCCTAGCAGGGCTCAGGGGACCAAATGGGATGTGGGGGATGGATGGAATGCATGCAAGGCAAGTGCCCTACCTGCTATATAGTCACTCCAGCCCAGCATACCAGGTTTTTAAGAGACTCCTGCCAAAGAAATCCTTTTAGGAATCCCAAAAGGGAGAGTTCAAGAAGCTACAAAATCAAGAAACATGCTAATATTTAACTTGAACTTGGTGTTTTCCAAATTTGATTACTGTAACCTTTTGGCCCCAAATACCTGTGTTCACTGGGACACTTCAGGGAATGCAGACGTGGAAGTTCTCCCAGTCGGAACAGGACTGGGGTGAGACTAATCCAGTTACACGCTGAAGGTGTGCAAAGGGAATGGGGACTTTCTGCACTTAATCAGCTTATGGAATGATTTGATAGCCAGGACCCACGTGATCTCAACCCAGTGAGCCCCAGGGAAGCGGTGAAGCCTCAAGCATTTATGGGAGCTGGGCTCTGCCATGGGAATGCCCGGACAGGGGCTGCACCTGCTGAGGGTGCTGGAACAGAGGCTCTGGGTGGCACTGGATGGCACGGGGTCTCTTCTGGGCACCTTTCTTCCCACCCCTCTGAATCAGTTTTTGACAACTGAATCTCAGGCTAGATTTTACTCGTTTACCAACTGCTGCCTTATCAAACCATCCTAAAACAAATGGTTCCATTCTCAGCGTCCCTTAGGCTGGCAGCACTCAGCTACATGTTTGTTTCTGCAGCTTGCTATGGTGTCAAGCATAAATCAGGTGGGAGTTTGGAGACAGGGTTTTCGGTGCAATTGGCTGCACCACGGTTCTCCTACACAAGAGCACTTACTTGGTACCACGTTGCTCAGCTCGAGCTTCCTGCAAGTCTGGAAATATGCCAGTTGGCTGGTACAAGCGAAAATGGAAGCTGACAGGCCCTCACTTCATTCACCAGCACTCAAGAGCCTCTCCCTTGCTGAGAGGAGCAAACCCAGAGGGGACGCGTCCTCAGCCACTTCTCTGATGACCCGCCACACCTTTGCTGTGAAGGGTGCAGGTTTCTAATAACAGTAACAGGGTAAACAGAAGGTGGGTTGGTTCCGGAAACAAACGCCCAGTTCAGAAAAGCTGGCTTCTTGGAACGACCAAGTCGTGAAGGATAAAGGATAAAGGTGTTTACATCTCACAGGGGCGTTTGGGAGCAAGGAGCCAGAGTTGCACAATGGTCCGGGTTATTTTCTTCTCTGCTCTGGGACACAAATAAACCCCACCCCAGCTGGTGGCAGCGTGACCATCTTCATCTAAGCAGAAGGCATTGCTGAAGGCAGAAGTGACAAATCGGCATTTCACCACCCATCTACATCTCCTTCTTAGTGACACTGACGTTTAGATCAAGGTTGCCACAGAGGGCAATTCCAAGGATGGGCTGCAAGAGGTGGTCATACCTCAAATAATAGAAAAATTTTTGCACAGCAAAGATGATTAAAGTCCTAATTCTCCAGTTCTCCTAACACAGCTAGTTTCTCCAAGTGTTTCATACTTCGTTTTCCACAAGAAATGTGTGTGGTATCTTTTATGTCCGGGTGCCTGGGAGCTGTGTGTGTGGGGAAGCTGACACAGGCCACCGCCAGCCAGACCTCAGTACCATCAGGGCACTTCGTTAGGGCTGCCACTTAAGAGCCAGGCCAGGGGCGATGGTCAGAGGCAGCAACCCTTGCTGAGGTTTGCTGAGTCAGGGTCTGCTTCTTAACCTCAAGTCCAGGAATATTTTTGTGTGGAGATAAAATTAAATTTGGGGGAGCAAGCCTGAGCGACAGTACAGCATGCATGGCCTTTGCCTTGTACGTGGCTGACCCAGGTTCATTCAATCCCTGAGCCAACTCTTCATTTATCACCTTGGACTCCAGGTTTCCTCCTACAAAGCCTGTTAGCACCCACTGCAGGCCTTGGCCAAGGGTGTGTGTGTGGGGGGGGGGGGGGGGGGGAGGAGGCACAAGTGCACAGACCCCAGCACAGCGAACGTGTACTCTCTTCCCCCAGAAATCAAGTACTTCTATTAGGTTTCAGCAGCTGGGGCAGGGTGGCAAGCTTCTAAAACAAGGTTCACTTTTATTTTTAGAAGAGAGAGGTCAACACCAGGGCTTCTTGGGACCCAGACTGCAGGAAACCTCTCAACATTCCGCTGTCAAGATCCATTATAACCTACTCCCATTTTTGCAAAATGTGAAAGCAGAACTTCCCCTGATGGACACTGAACAGAGAGATTTAGACACATCATTCTAAGGGGATGGAAAACCCTTAGAACTCAAGTGTTTCTCTATCCCACCTGTCACTCCCAGGTAGTGAAAGAGGACTCTTTACTTTGCACAGGAGGGCCCCAGTGTCCACCAGGTTGGGGAGTCACCAACACATGCCATGGTGAGCAGAACTACCTGGCTAATATGATTTCCACAGTAAGTGCCTGATCTCCATCTCCTCAACTGGGTAAATACTATAGGAAAACACAACTCACCCTGGAAGACTCAGTGACTGGCTACTGGCAAAGGAGGATGGAGACTAGACCTCTTCCCGTCTCCCCGCAGGGACCCGCAGGACCTCATCTATCTGAACTGCCTACAGATCCCTCTCATGTGGAAAATGGAGGAAATGAATGATACTATTGAAAAATGAGGAATATTGTTTGTAGCTATGCAAATCTACTGCAACCAGTGTGAGCCCAGGAGAATTTATACCACCAGACAAGTCCAGGGTAAGCGCTTCCTCTATGGACAGCCTGAATCACAGGAGGGAAACCCAACCTGTGGCCACGCACCATACCCCACAACAGTTTATGGCTAGAAAGTGAGTCTCAAGCACATCTACTATTAGTGGCAGGGTCATCAACACCATCTTCATATATATATAAATGAGAGCCCCAAGTGAGACAGATGTGAGCAGAGAACATGCTTTATTGAAGAGTAATATAGAACAGCACATTCCAGCACATGTGGGGAAGGACTAGCTTCTGTAAAAGGCCTGTGGCCCTTAAGAAACCCCCCGCCCCCCACCATGAAATTGCTTTTGGATACATTTTGACAGTGACACTGAGATGGGCAGGGAGCGGCCACTGAACATGCTTAAAATGAGCTCCCCCAACCCACAGTGAGTCTAAGTAGTGTACAGAGATGACAGAGAAAGGCACAAACGACCAGAGCTGGGACTGTGGCGAGGGCTCCCCGTGAAGACAGCAGTGCTGGAGGAGACCAGGCTGAGAAGGGTGACATGTCCAACATCAAAAGCTGCCCCAAGATAGCAGGTTATAACGGGCTGGAGAGAAATTAGAGGGAGGACTTTTGCCTTCACATGAACACCACCCAAAATAGAGACCAGAGAAGAGGATGGTGTGGCAGAACCCAGAGCGGAAACGAGGGCGGAGCTGGCGGAGGACATAAGCATTTTCGTCCTAGGCCAGCGGGGACGGGGCACGGTTTCACAGGGAAGCGAACCTTGGCAGGGAGGCCATTCTGCCTTGCTGAGTCATGGGCTGGGATACGGATGTCATTTTCAATCTTGTTTTACGTCTCCAAGGATGTGCAGACAAAAAAAATCAATGCAACTTATGAGGAAGGACGGGTGTGCCATGTCAGCCTGAGACAGGTGACAAAGTTTTGTGGTGTAATTAATCAGTTAACATGCAGCATGAAAGGGAGAGGCGGAATTTATTTTGGCACCTGCAAATGTAAAAAGGGGCAGGGAGTAAAGAAAAAACATTTACCACTGGATACTTTCTGGTGAGGCAAAAAAGTATTCAATTGCTTCTACCACGGCACTGCCCACTGCCCACAGAGGAACTCAAATCCAAACACAGAATCAACACCTATGAATTCTTCTCTCCATCCCCTTCAGATTATGTGCTGTTACCCAAACTCATCTCTGAAGAATCTTCAAAAATATTTGGCTCTGGTCAGCCTGATATGAATCAAAGCAGATCTTTTAACAAAAACGGGGGTGGGGGGTGGGGAGGAGAACTCCAAGTGAGATGAAATCCCAAGGGCACGGAGCCCTCTCAGTACACACACTCAGCTTCCTGCCCCTCTGAAACACAGGTGGTAAGGAATAACTAGAAAGATGATCCTGGTAACCGTAATTGGGAGGTCTGGTGAGACCAGGCAGCAAGAAGCACTATTACCAAGTTTAAAAGACACAACACAACCTCATGGGGCTAAAGAACATGAGGAGAGAACCAGTGACTGGACAGGTACAGTACCAAAACAGAACACCTTGGGTCAGTGCTACGCGGGATCTGCACGCAAGTCTAACAGAGATCCCATCTGGGCAACCTCACTGAGGCCGAAACAGCAGTTCCTCAGAACCAGCGTATGCAGTGTGCATGAAGGTCGGAGCGAGGACAGTCCTGAGGGGTGGGGGGGCCTTCCCAGAGGATACTGTACTTGCCAATCACGAGAGCAACAGAAATGACAGACAGATCCCTAGGGTATGGATTCCTACTGCTGGGGTTCGCTGGCTCAGAGTACCGAGTCACTTTAAGTGCCCTTCGGAGGGGTCCATTTTAAACAGCTTGGATCCATGGTTTTATTGGAGTTGGATCTCTTGGCCTCTTTGGCTATCCACTCATCTATCAGGTCCTAGGAAAGAATAATACAAATACGTATGTATGTATGTGTATATACATATATGTATGCATATAAAATCAACTGCCACTGTTTATGCAAATACAAAACGACTGTTAGTGAAGAAGCAATTGCCCAAGTTTTAATAAGGCAAAAAAAGAATTCATGTACAAAATACTTTCCTACCTAGTCCATCTCCTTACTATACCTCAGAAGAACTGAAACCCATTGTTTTCACTTATTATATGACTCAACTGAAAAAATTAGAGGGGCTGAGTGGAGGCAGAGTCTGGGGAAACTGAGAATCACTTTCATGAGCTTGCTACAGATGGGCAACTTCCTCCTACCTAGAAAAACCAAATGACAGAAGTGCTGGGCACCAGCCGAGAAAGCTGCTCAACAGCTTAACTTATGTCATCTACATTTGAGACAGGAGCTTAGGGAAAGCTTCTGATAATGACTGGGTATGAGATAAAGAAATGAGACTGCGTAAAAGGTGAATGTAATCAAACTCCTTAGAGAAGGGAAGTTCCTCTTTGGGTGTTAACGCCCCACTCTGCTCTGCTAAGCCTCATGGGACATTCAGCAATGCGCACACAGCTGATGAACACTTTACCTGTCTCTTTAAAACTAGGTGTTTTCCTTTCCAATACTTGAGCATCTGAAGGGCTTGCAGAGTGCTAACAATGTCCACAGGATTCACAGCTGTCTCCTGGCTAATTTCTGAAACAGAAGAGCTACTGAGATTCTGGCCTAAATGCAGACCCCCCCCCACTCAAAGACCCCCTCTTCACCCTGTCCATACAGAAGTCCAAATGGACTCCAAATGGTTAAAATCTCAGATAATCAACCCAACCTGTTCAGAAAAAATTTTTTTCTTAAAGGATTCATTTGACCTGACAAATTAATTAAAAAAACAAAACAAGACAACAACAACAAAAAAACCCTAAAGAGGGCAGTGACAGAAAGAAACCACAATTGGGCCCTACAGAAACCAAAGTCAAAGCCAGACAAAACCCTAGTCTTCCAGCCTTCCATAAATAAAACAGAAGCTCCTATGTGTGCTTAATGACTTCCTCTCAAACTTTTCTTCCTTTCGGACTTTTGTTAAGAATTAAAGTGTTGGGGCTGCAGAGATGGTTCAAGGGCTGGAGAACAGGATCTGCATGTGGGAGCCTGGAATTGGACCCCAGAATTTACCCCAGTTCTGCCGAGGCACTGTGGGTAAAATATTGCCCCACCCCACAATACAAACTGAAGTGTCAGCAACCCCAAATATCAGAGACCAAATCATAATCATTCCCAAGGTTCAAATGGATGGAATTCTTGGGCATATTTAGGAACTTTCTGCAGTGACCCATTTTCACTGGCACATTATATTCAAAACTTGAACAGGGTCAGGTGAGAAAGCTAAGATGTTTAGTGGAATTATAGCATGGTTAACAAACCATGCAAAGGAGTTAAAAAAAAAACACATACACCAACCTTTAATAGAAATTTCTTTGCCTTGGAAATTATGTAGGTAACGGAGAAGAACTTCCTTCCAGTAACTGCGGTAGCTTATGAGTCCCAGATCTGAGAGTGGACGTTCTGGGGAACCAACTTTTTCTTCCACTTTGGAAAGCAAATAGCCTGTCAGTGAACAAAAAAAGCAGGATGAGATGCTGTGCTGATGGAAGACATCCGCATCTCATCCTCATGACAAAGACTGACTCGCCAACACACAAGATTTGAGACACACCATCCACTTCCCAGTCATCAGTCAAGGCTCAGACATTCAGTGGAAACTGGAATTTGTCTTTGTATTAAACCAAAGGAAAGAATGTCTTCAGACATGAAAAACTCAGGAAGTCTTCACAATAGTGAAAACTAAACACATCGCTGTGTTCTATAAAATCATGAAAGAGGCCAGAGTGATAGTACAGTGGGTAGGGTGTTTGCCTTGCAAATGGCCGACCCAGGTTCGATCCTCGGCATCCCACATAGTCCTCTAGCACCGCTAGGAGTGATTCCTGAGCGCAGAGCCAGGAGTAACCGAGCATTGCTGGTTGTGGCTCAAGTACTCCCTCCTCCCCAGCTGGAACTGAGGGGATGGTACAAAGACTAGGAGTTCCAGGGTATTGCCAGGTGCAGCCAATCCCCCTCCAACAACAAAAACTGCTTTTCTTTTAGATGACTGGTGGTGCTCAGGGCTCACACCTGGTCATGCTCAGGGAACCAGATGGGGTGCAGGGATTGAACCTGGGTCAGCCACGTGCAAGACAAGCTCCCTACCTTGCTGTACTACCGTCTACCCCCAGCCTCCCGCAATCTCGTGCTGTTGATTCATTACCAGAGGACTCACGGCCAGTGTTACTAATATGCCGGAATGAGGCCTAAACATGTACTTTTTCTGTAAGGTATCAACAGGGATTTTCTGTAAAGGTATTAACCTTTCCAGAGAGTACGATGCTTATGCACCATCCAAAATCAGCAACATGGGCCAAGGAAATTGCTCAAACGGTAGAGCACATGCCTAGCATGTGCAGAGGTCGAGTCTGACCCCCAACACCCCAGTCCAAGCACCACCAGGCCAAGAACGGGATCACCAGAAGTCCCTATAAAAATTAAATAAGACCGTGCAGTTGGCGCGTCCTGCACTCTGCTAGGCTCCCCACTCGCCTGCGCCTCGCGACCCCCGGACACGGCAATGATGTCTGGCCCCAATGCCAGTCAGTCTCAATGCAGAGACTGAGCGCTGCATTGAATCTCTGATTGCAGTTTTCCAGAAGGATGCCGGCAAGGAGGGCAACAGCTGCCAGCTCTCCAAGACCGAGTTCCTGAACTTCATGAGGACAGAGTTGGCTGCCTTCACACAGAATCAAAAGGATCCTGGCGTCCTTGACCGCATGATTTAGGAACTGGACCTTAATTCCGACGGGCAGCTCCATTTTCAAGAATTTCTTAATCTCACTGGTGGCCTGGCCATCGCCTGCCTTGAATCCTTTAAGTCTGCCCATTGCAGGAAGTAACACTGAGGAGCACCCAGCCTTGCCTTGACACCCATGGCTTTCCTGTCACCATGTCCTCTTGAACCCACATATCCCCTGAGCCAAGCCACTCCTGCTGGTATTAATAAAAACAGATTTCTTTAAAAAACAAAAAAACAAAAAAATTAAGTAAAACCAGGGCTTCAGAGATAGCTCAATGGCTGGAGCACATGTTTTGCAACCAAAAAAATCCCAGGTTTGATCCTTGGCACCACATTCCACAGGCATCACTGGGAGTGATCTTTGGGTACCACTAGGTGTGGGCCACAAACCAAAATAGTGTGTATTATAAAACAAAACTAGCAACAAAAGGCACAAAACCATGACAACAGTTCATAAAGACATTTGCTTATAAAAAGCAGTAAAATGAGGCAGAAAGTTTAACCTCAACTAGGTACTTGGGACAACTTTTATGCTGCTGTGTTCATGTCTACAAATAAAATTTAACAGTTTTACTTACTGAAATCAATCAGCATCTTCCCATAGCCTTGTCTCATGTACTGTGGCATGGTAAGGATACAGGAGACATTGTAGTTGAGGAATGAATTCTTTTCCTAAAATCAAGAGCAGAGATGAGCAGGCTGGGGGAGAGGGGTGGCTGATACCAAAGACGTCAGCCGTCTCACAGATACAAAATCAAAATAAGGCTGCTTGCAAAATATCTGGCTAACCAGTTTTGGGAGTGGCAGCCAGGCCCACAGCTGTTCTTGTGCACACCCTTGATGGTGGCAGAAGCCATTAATCCCATGGCTTCCCTTGCTGAGCCATTAGCCTTGTTTTAAAGGGTTGACTCCTCATTCTTCAGTCACAGAGCAAATAGGGCAAGTCTAGAGAAACTCTCGAAGGGATTTCAAAGAAAGGGAGGCTGTCCCCCCAGGAAAGAGAGGGACCCCAAACCTTTCAGTACCAATATTGCAAACCACAATGCCCAAAAGTGGAGGGGAAAGGGGGAGAGAAGGGGAGGAGGGGAGGGGGGGGGGAGAGAGAGAGAGAGAGAGAGAGAGAGAAAAGCGCCTGCCATAGAGGCAGGCAGCGGGTGGGGGGTGTGTGATGGGAGGGAACCTGGGCCTGGGGATACTGGTGCTGGGAAATGTACACTGGTAGAGAGATGGGTGTTGGAATACTGTGTGACTGAAATCCAATCATGAACAGCTTTGTAAGGGTCTATCTCACAGTGATTCAATAGAAAAGTGAAGAGGGATCCCAAACATTAAGCTCCCATTCTAGGAGGTCACAGAACATTTGGGCCTGGGGATGGCTTAAGCGGTCAAGTGCCTCCCTGGCAGGCCCAGTGTCAGCATGCTGTGCCCAATGTGATCCCACAGCACTGCAACTGAGCATAATAGCAAGTGTCGCAGCGTGCAGCTCTGGCGAGCACCACAAGCACACAAACCCCGGTCATCGACCTTAGCAACCAAGGCAGAGAAGGGGGAAACGCAAAGGGAAACACTCACATTGGGTTCCTGAACTGACAAAAGGGCTGAGTGGAAATCAGGAGTGAACATTCATTTGGGTAACAAAAATTAAGCGTAGATACTGCACCGTGGATACAATATAAGACTATACTAAAAGCCACCAAATCATACACTTCAAATGCGTGAACTGTATGATATGAATGACATGTCAATAAAGTCATAAGAAAAACCTGGCTTCGAAGACAGAGGCATATGATCATTGAAGAAGCTCAGACAGAAAACCAGGCAAAAGGAACCCACTTCTGGTTCGAACACAGACGAAGGCAGGCCAAAGCTAGGAGAGCTGGCCTGGTTACAGGACATAGGCTTGTGGGTTAGTAGGCTGGCCCTGGACAGTAATAGGCAGCTCCAGCCACCACGTCCCAAAACGCATCAACCAGCTCTTCTAATGAACTGACCGATTTTCACTAAATAACCTTTGATATATGGATCTGTCTTTTGAAGAAACTTAAGAGAAAGGTTGTCATTTGTAGGGTACTGCCTCTTCCTGTCAGTGATCTGAACCCAAATGCCAATATCAATCACCCTGCTCTGGCCACGGGCTTCTTAATCTCCAGTTCCTGCTGACCTTGGAAAAATACCCAATCAGGTGACAGCCAGTGTTGTCCGCTTCTGTCATGACATAGAACAGGAAGGGCTCCACATCATAATATAATGTCTTATGGTCCAGAAAAAGCTTGGCCAACAGGCACAGGTTTTGGCAGTAGATCTGGAAACAGAGAAAAGAGTTCAGATGCAAGCCAGTGATTTCTGAACTTATCAGATAAAGGCCTAAAATTAAATCTCATGCCATTTTTATTAATGGGGCAGAAACAGTGTATTTTGGCTTGAAGAGTCCTATCTGCCTCGGGATGGAGACCAACTCCTTCTGAAACCCATGACGTGTGCCACTAGCACCCCTCTTTCTTGCATCCCCTACTGTTACCTTGTTTTTCTTGCCATCCACCTCAAACACGGAGATTGAGCCTTTGCGATAGATCTCGTCACCGGGCGGGTGCTTCCACACACACTTAGCCTGCAAATAAACAGTTGCATCAGGGAAACCCATCTTCCTGACAGCACTGCCCAAAGAGCAACACAGGCACAGGCCGGGCAGCTGGGCACTCGAGAACATACAGTAAAGCATTTTCCAGTAAAACAATTAAGGGATTCTGAAATCACTACAGTATATTTATGGTATTTTCCTAGCAGTTTGGAACAAGTTTTCTGGATTATACTCTGGCACAGTCTCAACCCAGGAGATTAAAATCATCTACTACGTAAAAGCCAGATAAAATAAAATACCTTACTTATTATTAAATGCCCTGCACCAACAGGAAATTCTTAAGCAGCTTATTTCCAGCAGCTTAGAGTTGCTAAGTAAAGGTACTTTCATCTTTACCAGTAACTTGTCGTAACTGCCTCGCCATTCCTAATATTAGTTCCCGCCCCTGATAGATGCACAATGATAAAACCAACTCCCCCTGCAAAATGTTCCCTTTGTTAGAGAAGGAAATTAGAGCAAATCCTTCTGTGGCTTTAAGGGGAAGAAAAAAAAGCAACATAACAAGGCTAGGCAGCAGGAAGGGTGGAGGTACACCAGCCACAAGGGGGCACCCAATACCCCACGCCTCACTCTCAACTAACAGCTTTAAGTATTTTTTTTTAAATTTTGGGGCCTTAGTGAGGATACTGAGGATGCTGAAGAATCACTCCTAGCATTGTTCAGGGGATCATGTGGAATGCCAGTGAAAGCCATATGGAAACCCAGATAGGTCACAGGCAAGGCAAACACCCTACCCACGGTACTATCTTCTCTAGCCCCACAACTAATGAATTTAGAGCAGCACTGTCAGCCATTGCTATAAGCAGGTGCATTTATTGAAAAACATTGTTTCTCTTGGGGCCAGAGAGAAAGCACAGGGATTAAGGCTCTGTCTTGCATGTGCCCCTCCTATTCTATTCCTGGCACTGCACCAGAGGTGACCCCTGAGCACAGAGCGAGGAGCAGTCCCTGAGCGCAGCCAGGTGTGGCCCTTACCTCCGCCCCCATACTTGTTTATGAAACAAGTGTATACAGAGGGTTCTTGAATAAGTTTTCTGCCTGTTGGGCAAATCAAAAGTCACGCCCCAATTTGTCACATGTAAATCCAAATATTTATGAATTGGCACTGCTTCAGGAAAGTTCCACCTACAGTGTTCCTATCCCACTCCTTTACTCTTGCTGGTTCTTTCCAACAATAACTAAACTGATACAACAGTTATTTGTTTAGAAGCTGACACAAGCTATTGGCCAAAATGGCCAAAAGAAAGCCCTAGTTTCAGTGATCAGGCATGAAACAATAGGAACCAGAAGACTTATCTGTATACCCAAGCATGCTGAAGACAGGTGGGGTGGGGGCCAAGCTCATCACAGTCCTGGGCCTGGGGGTTACTTAAACCCTGGGCTTCAGAGCTGGGACCATGAGGAAGGAGTATTACCTAGCTAGAAAGAATGCCACAACAAAAACCACAGAAAGGCTGGGTTTGTAGAAATCCCGGGAAATAAAGATTAAAGGGCATAAAAGAAATACCCTGAAAGACCCTAAAAGGAACTGGAGAGACTACAGCAGACTATTGTTTACCCCTAACTCTCTTCCATCCCCATCCTGTGTGCTGCACGACACAAAATTATTACAGAGCGGTTGCAGGGGAAAAAGCTCAAGGGGTTAAGAGCACATGCTTTGCATGTGAGAGCTCCAGGCTCCATCCCTGGCCCTCTTGAGTCCCCGCCCCTTGCATCCAGCAGAAGCAGCCCCTGAGCAGAACAGGCAGGGTATCCCCGCCCCCTCCTCCCCTCCCACAACCCACAAACAAATCAAGAAGAAAAGCTACAAAGATCTACAAAACAAGAAGGAAAGCTACAAAGCAGCTCCATCAACAATAAAATCAGATTCAAGCCTCACTCAATTCCAGTTTTAATAATAGGCAGAATGTTCGGAAATCAGAAAGGACTAAACTTGAGAGGGCACAAAGGAGCCGCTCTTTCAGCAACACACATTTAGGGCTCACTTATTACCCACCCTCGTTGCTAGGACACCAAGGTGAGTCACGGTTCTGCTGTCTAATGAAGTCTATTTCCATCCAGTTTAGAACATGGAAACTGAGCAGAGGTCATTCATATCCCAAGGAAGAAATGGAAATGAACAAGCCACATGGGAATAAACACAACCCTGGGGTCACAGGTGCCACGGGAGCCAAGTTCACGGTCATCAGCTGCCCTGGGTGCCACCCAGCCACACCAGTCATGCCACAGGTGGGATGGCCCCAACCTGAGATGAGATTTTCCATGGTCTATGCCTTCATCTCAGTACTGTGGGTGAGATGTTTGGATAGATACCGTCTCCAGGACAGAGCAGAGAAAGCCCAGAACCATGGGACCCAGTCAACCTACCATGTGTCGGCGGAGTATTGTCTGGCTCTTCATGTATTTTAGACAGAATTCACACATGTAGAGACGGCCCAGGCGTGCATACTCCTCAGGATAGGGAGAATGGTACCAGGTATCGAGCTCATAGCGACCAAATGCAATGGTTTTGATCATGTTGCTCCCCTCCGTGATTTGACCTTGAAGCCTTAACTTCTCCTATTGCAAAAATGAAATCCAGAGTCAAACACAGAATTGATCATATGTTTCTAAAAGCCTGTAGATAATTTTCCTGCATACTATCATGCTAGGCTGTTTAGAAGTAAAGAAAAACAACCTATAGATTTGGCTTCTCCTGAAGAACTTGTACTACTCCACAGGCCTGGAGAATCAGAAAAGCTCTGGGCAACAAGAGCCACTCAACTTCCGGACATCAGAACAAGTCCTTGGTAAAACTTTATCACTCTCAACTGAATTGTAAAAGGTCATCAAGCATTGGGGGCCAGAGTGACAGTGTATTAAGTAACAGCTGATCCCGGTTCAAATCTCCAGCACCCCATATCGTCACCCCCGCCCCCGCCCCCGCCCCCGCACCACCAGGAGAAATTCCTGACTGCAGAGCCTGAGCATCGCGGGGTGGGGGGGAGATGGGGATGACATGACATTTCATATAAAAACTCTTACCCATGGGACCGGGACCAGAGAGAAAGTACAGTGGGTAGGGCACTTACCTTGCACTGACACAGGTTCAATCACCAGCACCCCATATGGTCCCCTGATTCCAGTCAGGAGTGATCCCTGGCACCACACAACCACACACCCTCTTGTGTGGCCCAGAGTCCCAACCCCCACCAAAAAAAAAAAAAAAAAAAAGGAAGGAAGCAGTCCCCAGTCCATCCCACCCCAGGGGACTCCCAAACTGTCTCTTGCAAAGTGTCAACCAGGATTCCAAATCAACTAATGATTTTTTAAAGGAAGTAAAACTTCCTTTAAAAAAATTGAGATTTCAGATGCGATAGCACAGGAGGTAGGGCGTTTGCCTTGCACGTAGACGAATCGCGTTCAGTCCCTGGCATTCCATATGGTCCCCCAAGCACCACCAAGAGTGATTCCTGAGTGCAGAGCCAGGAATGACCCCTGAGCATCGCTGTGTGACCCAAAAAGCAAAATAAATAAATAAATAGAGATTTGGGGCTAGAGAGATAGCACAGCGGGTAGGGCATCTGCTTGCATGCGGCCGACCCGGGCTCGATTCCCAGCATCCCATATGGTCCCCTGAGCACCGCCAGGAGTAATTCCTGAGTGCAGAGCCAGGAGTAACCCCTGTGCATCGCTGGGTGTGACCCAAAAAGAAAAAAAAATTGTGATACAAACTAAGTTTCTCTTAACAAAATTTATTAAATCCGAAGTAAATTCAAGGGCCAGGATGATAAGATAGTACAGCGGGTATGGTGCTTGCCTTGCATAAACCTGACCAGGATTCAACCCCCCGTATCTCATATGATCTCTGAGTCCCAACAGGAGTGAACCCTGGTGGTCCAAAAACAAAACAAAAAGTAAATGCAACTACCACAAATTTCTTAAAAGTTGTTTGGAGTGACAATAAACCAAGAAAGGCACTTGCCTTGCATGCAGCCAGCCTGGGTTCAATTCCCAGTATCCCATATGGTTCCCTGAGCCCACCAGGATCGACCCAAGTGCAGAGCCAGAGAGGTATTACAGCAGGTAAAGTACTTGCTTTGCACATGGCTGACTCAGATTCAAACCCCAGTACCCCACCAAGAATAATTCCTGAGTGCTGAGCCACGAGTAAACCCTGAGCATCACTCCACTGTGTGTGTGTGTGTGTTTGTTTGTGTGTGAGGGGGGGAAATATATATATATATGTATGTTATATATGAAAGAAAAATAAATAAAATTAAATAAAATACCTAACAACAGTCATCATTTCCCTGATTCTTCTTCACTGTCTGTATTCTTTCTTAGCTATACAGAAGGGGAACTGGCAAGGGAGTCCCTTTTGGGTAAAAGGACCCAACAGAAGGCTACCTCCTAGTCAGTAGTTCTCAGAATTGCAAATGAGCCAATCCAATGGAGACAAAGGGGGCATCTGTTGTTCTATCCAGACTTAACAACCTCAACCAAACAGGTCATTCCATAGCGCATAAGCAGAGCTGAACTGAAAAAAATTTGTAAGGAACTAGGGAAGGGAGGAGGGATGATTAACTTTAAATATGAAAGGGGGGGGCGGACAGGGGAGCTGGCTCAGAGGGCGGCGGCAGCAGCAGGCTTTCACTGCTGGGAGCACCCCGTGCCCCACAGAAAGACAAATGAAGGTGCAAAGTCTCAATAAGGATGGCTGAGGGAAGCAAGGAGAAAGAGGCATTCAAGCAGCAGCATCAAACTTAATACCCACCAAAAGGCTGCTAAATCTTTTTTTTTTTTTTTGGCAGTTCCAAGTGTCCTTTCCAAGTGGTCCTTAGCTCGGAGATTTTAATACTCACCAAATCCTCTGAAGCCCGGGCTTGTGCTCTTCGGAAAAGATCCAAGTCATACTCGCTAGTCAGGTTTTCCAAGAGCGGTTCCCGAGTGTTCCCATAGGTCTGCCTGTGTTCCTAGGAAAAAACCAAAGCATGATATGGCCAGACCCTATGTTGATTTTATATCGACTGGTGCCAACCAAAGGGCCAAGCACACTATCAGCTACTCGGGCGATGGGACCAATGGGACCTGTCAGCTCACTGACAGAAGACACCCACTGGCCACCTAGTGAATCTGGAACATCTCTGAGAGTTTCATGTGGAGCCTCCAGGCTCAGAACTCAGCCTTCATTTCTTCCCCTGAAAGGCTATCCACGAACAGTGCAAATGACTCATATGACACTCAAAGGCACAACAAATTCCTAGAATCTCGATTATCTGGGATGAACCTTATACTCCCTGATTTCAAAACAAACTCCTCCAGACTCTCTAGGCCTGAGATGAGATCTGAGCCTGACCCAAGCAGTACTGTGGAAATCCTCTCACTGGAGTGGCTGTACCCCCATTGCCCCATTACCTTCTAGACGACAAGCATGGTGCTATGATACTAGTTTAGAACTCCAGCCCAGGTCCTACACAAGCAAGGCTGGCCTCTTTAAAAAAAAAAAATAATAATAATAATAAGGGCTAGAGCGATAGCACAGCGGGTAGGGCATTTGCCTTGCACACAGCCGACCCGGGTTCGATTCCCAGCATCCCATATGGTCCCCCAGCACCACCGGGTGTAATTCCTGAGTCAGGAGTAACCCCTGTGCATCGCTAGGTGTGACCCAAAATTTTTAAAAAATAATAATAAAAAAAAAGATTCATTGAATATTAAGACTCAAAATAGTCCAGAGAGAGAGACAGAGACAGAGAGAGAAGAGAGAAAGGAGAGAGGGGAAGAAGCGGGGTAGGGGGGAAGAATAGAAACAGTTCGATTTTAAATAAGCATCAAATCTTACCATGGCAATGATTACTAGTATCCCTTTGCGGAAAAGGAATTCCCCAGAAGAAACTTGCCTTTTAAAGCTTTGAGCCTAGCCCTTCCCACTTGGTCCCAGACTCCACCTCCCACTCAGAGACTAGAGATAATGGCAGTGGATAGCTCATCCGGGGAAAACATTTCACACATATATTAGCATATGAAGAAAGCAGCCACACGGACTTTTAGCCCTATTAAAATTCCTTCCGGGTAATCAGGCCCCTCATTTCAAATTTGGATCCTGTTATCTAAAATTTAAGTTCCAAGTATTAGTATTTTTTTTTTCTGATATCCTAAACATTAAGAACATTTAAGCATTTAAGAGCACATCCCAGCCATTTTTACCCTGGAGGTTGGGTTCAAATAACCTAGGCCAAGTTTCTGGAAAGCCAATGTCGGAGCATTCCCTTCAAACACACGGTATGATTACGAGCTGGTGTCACTCTCTGCTCCAGCTCTCTCTGCTACTGGATATGGGAGACACAACCATCACAGAGCACTTTTACAAGGGTTGCAGCTGTGCTGGAACACAGCTCAAAGGGTGCGTGAACACCTTGGAGGCAGGAGCTCTGGGTCTAAGCCCCCTCCCACCCCCCAATAAAAACAAACCCCTGACAAGGAAGTGGAAGACATACAATTTCAACCCGCTACTAGGAACTCTCTACAACCCAATGACCCAGCCCTCAACCTACCATCTCAGATGGGCATGTTGCCATTTACTTATCGGCTTAGATATTTTTTGTTTTGTTTGGGGGTGGAGCATCTCTCCACCCAGCAGTGCTCAGGGGCTGGGGGGAGGGGGAGGAGCATCTCTCCTGGCAGTGCTAGGGTGACCAGGTGGAACCAGGGATGAAGCCTGAGATAGTCCCTGCTCAAATCACGCTCTCAGTCCTTTGAGATATCCCTCGACGCTGTAACATGATAATTTTCAAGACAGCAATGACTACCAAAATGTATTACACGGGGGCTGGAGTAATAGCACGCGGGTAGGGCGGTTTGCCTTGCACACAGCCGACCTGGGTTCGATTCCCAGCATCCCATATGGTCCCCTGAGCACCACCAGGGCTAATTCTTGAGTACAGAGCCAGGAGTGGCCCCTGAGCAACTCTGGGGAGACGGGGAGAGAAGGAAGGGGAGAGAGGAAAAAAAAAGAGAGGGAAGAAGGAAAGGAGGAGGGAGAGGGAGGGAGAAGAGGGAAAGAGAAAGGGAGAGGGGGAGGGGTGGAGAGGGAAAGGAAGAGAGAGGATGCTTTTGTGTTTTTGCCAGGAACAAAGCCCAGATATTTCAATTCCATGGGGAAAAAAAGAAACCACACATGGAATTTTTCTGTTTGTTTTTTGCTTTTGGAGTCACACCCGGTGATGCACAGGGGTTATTCATGGCTCATACACTTAGGAATCACTCCTGGCAGTGCTCGGGGGACCATATGGGATGCTGGGAATCGAACCTGGGTCAGCCGTGTGCAAGGCAAACGCCCTACCCACTGTGCTATTGCTTGAGCCCCACACATAGAATTTTTCTTCTCTGTATTTGTGGCAATTTCTACAGCAATCATACATCTATTAGTATATTTAACACAGAATATATGTTACCAGGCCAGAGAAAAAGCACAGTACATACATACATACATACATGACACTTGCCTTACAAGCAGTCAACCTGGGTTCAATCCTCAGCACTACTGGTCTCCCAAGTAATGCCAGGAATGATCCCTGAGCACAGAGCCAGAAATAAGATCAAACCGCAGAACAGCACTGGGTGGAGCCACGCCTCCCCAACAAACAAACAATGTATCTCTTCTTAACTAATATTTTTTGGGGATGGGAGGAATCTGGACCACACTCAGTAGTACTCTAGATTCCTCATGGCTCTGTGCTCAGGGAAATATATGCAGAACCAGGGATCAAAGGGATTAATCAGACAAGGCAAGCACCTCAAGTCCTGTACTATCTCTCTGGTCCCTTTATTTAAATTTTATGTCCTCCTCCTCCAAAAAAATCTTGAGCAGGAGTCTTAGTGGTACACAGGGAAGCCTGAGGACCGTTTTAGGTGATACTTGACCGTTTTAGGTGATATTGCTGGAGCAATAGCACAGTGGGTAGGGCATTTGTCTTGCATGCGGCCAACCTGGGTTCGATTCTCAGCATCCCATATGGTCCCCTGAGCACCGCCAGGAGTGATTCCTGGAGCACAGAGCCAGGAGTAACCCCTGTGCATTGCCGGGTGTGACCCCAAAAGCAAAATAAATAAATAAATAAAAGGGTTACATTTACAGACTTGAACAAATGCATGATTTTACAGATGTTTATATAGGGAAAAATATTCAAGTTAAGCAACAGATCACCTGTTTTTAATGAAAAAATAGAAATTCCTATGTGATAAAAAGGATTAGAAAATTAATTTTATTATTAGTTTTGTTTTGGGGTAAGCATTGCTTAGGGTCATTTGGTGTGGACCAAACAAACAAAAGAAACCAACAGGTTTACAGTTAGCAACTAAAGATGGAAGCTTTTTCATCCTTTTTTTTTCTTTCTCCTTTTTGGGTCACAACCAGCAATACTCAGGGGTTATTCCTGGCCCTGCATTCAGAAATTACTCCTGGTGGTGCATAAGGGACCATATGGGATGCCGGGGATCAAAACTGGTCGGCCATATGCAAGACCTGCTGTACTATGGCTCTGGCGCCAGCTTTTTCATCTAAATCCTAGAGGAAGCTAGAGATATTTGCCCTGCATGTGGCTGACCCTGATCGATCCTCATAGTGCATGAAGTGATCACAGAGCACAGAGCCAGGAGTAAACCCTGACCTCAAAGTCGGGGGTAACCTCCTAAGCAGAGAGGTATGTCCCAAACCCACAAATATAGTAGTATTTCCATCCAAAAAAAAGTCACCTGTTTCCACTACTGTCAGCACATTTTTTGAAGGCTTATAGTTAGCTCTGCCATAGAAGAATCCCTGTATTAGCAGAAAACACCAAATAGCAAATGTGCAAAGCAGAAGCTTAGAAACTAGAAGGAACTAGAATGGGATCACTAAAACTCATGCCAATTAACTTTCTTACCATGTATTTGTCCTTCTGCTCTTTGCTCAGTCCAGAATTCCTCTTCTTCCTGAGTTCAGCCACCTTCTCCTTATAGCGCAACTGTCTCTCTGATGGTGCCTAAGAAGGAAAAGGAGAAAACAGAGAACCTAGTGAGGAAAAAACTCCTGATTATAAAACAACAAACAAAAGGAGGGAGGGGAAAGGATATTATCAGTCTCTTATAGCACCCTGTGAATACTCTGGTCATTTAAAGAGTCCGAATCGGGGCCCTTTCTCTAGACAAACTAGCCATACTGTCATCTGTTTATTTTCACATTAGGTCAAACAGAACACAAAGTGTGGGTAGAAGTCATTTCATAAAAGCCACAGGCATAAAGACCATTTCAAAGCAGCCAGTTATTATATGCTTACTGTCTTCCAAGTACTGTGCTCTGACAGCAATGCAAAAATGAAGAAAAAACTTGAATCTGAATAGGAATAAATGCCAAGCCGAACAATAAAGAAGCGTGAAGCTTCCCCTCACAGAGTGCTTATTACCTGCCAGACACTAGGGGCAGGGAAAATATGTGCATAGTTTAGTTCACTATCCTGGCAGCAAGGTATTATTCACTCGTTTTTATGAATAAGAAAATTAAATTTAGGGAGGCTAGCTGACCTACCTAAGTCCAGACAGTTTGAAATAACAGAATCATGGTTTTCAAATCCAGGTCTACATGGCTCCAAGCTTCTCCCTCATCGATCTGTTTCCTCTGCTTTTCACCTATCATTTAAGCTTGAAAGTGCTAAGGTAGTATTTGGAGACGATTGCAATGGGAAAACATAAGGAAGGCATTCATTCAAGGAGAAGATTTAGGAAGACTTCTCAATAGCTCAAAGTGGCACCAGGCCTTGAAGAATAAACATGATCGATCTCTTCTTGGTACCACTGCAGAGTTCTAGGCAGTGAAACGGCAGGAGTAAAGACCAAAGGCATTCTGGGAAGAGCAAGGGATGAAGTGGAATCAAGGGTCATGACTGCTCGGAGAAGCAGAAGAATTAGAGCGAAGCAGCATCTTGAAAACCAAGGGCAAAGAAGCAGCAGCAAAACGACAGAATCCACGAGTGTTAAATGCTAGGAGAATCACTAGTGGAAACATGCCAGCAGAGAGGAGGGGTTGAAAGGAAACCTCGAAGTGTTACAAGCGACTGAGTTTATGGCCAGAAGACCAGTTGTTTAGACATACCAGAGAAAACAAGACCGGGTAAGTCTAAGGACAGAGGGCAAAGGAGGCTTGGGACTTGGCTCTCACCCTGGGGAAGGCCAGCGCTTCGCAAGGCCCATACCTGGTGCCTGGTGGCATGCCTGTTGTTGTCATCTTGCCTGTGGGACAGCATCCTTTCTTCTATCTGCTTATCCCGGCTCTGTGCTCTCACCTGCAACCAGCAACAGCGTCAATAAACCCACCTGCTGCTAAGGCTATGGTTACTCAGCACGCAGAATGTGACTGTCAGTCCCTGAGTTTCCACCGCCCTTCAACATTCAAAGGGACTTCACATTTGATTACCACCGTCTACAGAAAAGGGACAAGGCAAGCTTCACACTTGAACTTCTCAGTCACGAACTGAGAGGCAAAGAACTGAGAGCTAAAGGGCGGAGAAGCTAAGACTGAATTTAAGTATGATGACTCGACCACGGTACAAGGGATCGACGTGAGGAGGTGCAAGAACAAAGCAGGGGCGTGATGTGCACAGAAACGCTCAGAGAGCTGGGGTGAAGTCTGTGGGGGAGCAGCTCCAGCGTCACCTGAGATGCATCCCACGCACTCTCTGAAAACCTCCGTTTCCATAAGGATTCATAGCCAACTGCTCCCTCCACCACTTCAACACCAAAACTCACTCACGACAGTCACAAAGGAACCGCTCCCTCACCCACAATTTGCTCTGACTTACGTCAATAAATAGCAACACTTTCTCTACAACTGATCGGGTCAAAAACTGAGTGACATCTTTGATTTCTCTTTCACGTTTCACATGCAATCCATCAGCAAGTATAAAATTCTGCTCCCCTCCAAACTCTAGTCTTCATCCAACCAATTTTTACCATCACTTCCACCACACTGACCCAGGTCACTGTTTCCTGACTGATCTTTGAAGAAGCCCTCCCTCTAGTCTACCATATGTCAACCCATTCCCACCCCCCACCCCTGACTTACTCCATTTTCCAAGCTGTAATTTGTAAAGGTTTATATAAAATTATGTCACACCTCTGCTAAAGTTCTCCAAATGCTTCCTGATGCCATCAGAATAAAAATGGGACTTCTGGTGTCAAAGCCTACAAGGTCCTTCATGGTCTGAAAGGCCCAACAATAGTGACATAATGCTATACAACAGCATGTTTTGAGGTGCAGGATTTTTTCTTATTAGTCTATATGCTGACTCTGCCTCTCCCCATAAGAGTGGAAGCTCAGTATATGCCGTATTTATGTCATTTACAGAATCCTGTTGCCTGTTACCTGTAGCACTATTAAGGAGTCACAGAAATCTATGACTAAACAGGAGCAGAAATATTATTGGCTAGAAATAGTTACCAGGAAAGTGAGTACAATTTAAACCTGGAAGTTCATTTATACATGTAAGAAATTAGTTTAATCTTTCCCTTGGGGATCTTAGAGTCTAAACTTCCGTCTCTGAGAAAATTCCCCAGATCTTTCAAGCACACGTACCAATGGCAGAGATGAGTAATAATGATTCAGAAGAGCACACACAGAGGGAAATCTCGGGAAAGAAAAGTTTCCCTTGTTTTCAGAATTTATGTTCCCTAAATGGAACACTTTTTCTTCTTTTGTTAAATAAACAGGCGAAGAGAGTGCGTTCGTGTTGCTACAAGCCAACAATTCAGGAAAACTTGCACATAAACTACTCAAGGCCTCAGATTGTTATGAGCAGAGACAAAAGATAATTCTCAACAAACAGATCCGCTATTTCCAAAGAAGTCTGTGAGCTTTGGATGCAGATGGTGGCAGTGCTGCTCCTGTTTTGATCTCATCTGATGTATGTGAAGATAATGAGACAACTTACCACTTCCTCTCCACACAAAGCAGAGAAAATAGCCTTGCTCATACAGTTTTAGGATGAGGAAAAGTAAGAGTCCTGAATTTCAAAATCCATATAAGCACTGGAAGTATACTTTACTGGAAGATGACACAGAAAGAGGCTTTGGAACCATTATCAATTTGTCTGTAAAAGGGCACACAGATTCTTGAAACAGGGAGAATTAATACCAGTTTGGGGATCTAATTTTTCTCAAAATGAGAATGGCCCGGAAAGGAAAAAACTTACAACTCCGAACTTGTCAGAAAGATAACAATTGCTAAAACCACTGCTACTAGTTAGTTGGGATAACCTGCCCAAGTACTACAGAAGCTACCAATATAACTAGGAAAATTTCCCTTCTTCCCTTTCTTCTTCCCTATAGTTAGCCTTCCGGTGCAGCCCTTCGCCATAGCAGTGACCTACACAAGAACACACAGGAGGACCCAAGGCTCTACTCTGACAGACATTACTCCAAATTCCCAAAAGTGACTTAGCTATGTTTTTCAAGAATCTAAAAAGAACTAGTCTGGGGCTGGAGCAATAGCACAGCACGGGTAGGGCGTTTGCTTTCCATGTGGCCGACCCGGGTAAATTTCCAGCATCCCATATGGTCCCTGGAGCACTGCCAGGAGTAATTCCTGAGTGCATGAGCCTGGAGTAACCCCTGTGCATCGCCAGGTGTGACCCAAAAAGCAAAAAATTAAAACATTTAAAAATAAAAAGATAAAAAGAACTGATCAAGAGTGTGACTGAAAGTAACAAAAAAGGAAAAGTATTCTGCAGAAATGATTCCTGCAGAAAGTGGAAAAGGTCCCTAACAATCTTTGAGGTCATTTTCTTTTTTAGTTTTGGGCCACTACACTGAGTAAGTAGTGTTCAGAGGCTCAGTGCCCCCTCCCCCCACCAAGGGACTTGGTGGTGTGGAGATCAACTTGTTCGGCACAAAAGCCAAATTTTTTGTTTCTGGGCCATGCCGAGCAGTGCTCAGAGGCTACTCCTGCCTATTTTCTGTTGCTCCCCGTGGTACCGGGGGAAATCATATGCAGCACTAGGGATGAAACCTAGGTCTCCTGCGTGCAAAGCATGCATTTTAGCCTGCTAAGTTATCTCTCCAGACCTCAAGTCAATTTCGTTTTTCTTCTCTTCCCTTCCCCTCTCCCTGCTCTTCCCTCCCCTTCCTCCTATATTTTGTGGCTTCAGGGATCACAGGTAGCAGGGCTGCTGGGACTGCACCAGCACATGAGGGACCCCGAGGACCTGACTCATCATGAAGTGCTTGCTAGGCTCCAGGACAGCTGCTCTAATCCGAAGGGCTGCTTGTCCTGCTTGTCCAGGCCAAGCTCAACCTTCAATGCCTCTGAAACATGGTGCCGTGCCAAAGTGTCTATAGATTACCATCTACTGATTTCCTTCAAAGCACTCATTATATACTTTAGTTCTAACTTTTTAAGGAAAGCACTAATTTTTCCCCCACTAGAATGTAAAAACATCCTCCACCCAGATCCTCCAAATTCTAGTAGGCGGGGGTCACACCCACCACCTGGCCCCCTGGCGCCGTGTAATCCCATCAACGGCCAAGACTCAGAGACTATAAAATCCAGCTCCTGGAACCGCGCAGCCGCATTTGCGGCCGCGCGACATCTTATCAAGACATCTTTTTATGATGTCTTATTATCTCATTCCTACTTTGGACAAACTTGCAGGCTATCGAATATAGCCTGCCCACAGGGCAGAGTCTGGCAAACTCCCCATGGCACACCAAATATGCCAAATACCAGTAACAATGATGGGTCTCATTCTCCTAAAGAGCCTTGAATATAATCTCAGGGCTATGATGAATGAGACGTTACTGGGGCCTGCTCGAGGCAATCGACGAATAACAGGATGATGAATGAATGAATGAAAAGAATGTAAAAACAAGGACCTTTTCCAGCGTGCTCACACCGTCCCCCCATGTTTAGCAAGTACCTGGCCAGTGGCACGGAAGTCAGAATCCGCTGAGTAAATGACAACACACAATTACCTTGCACTCATCAGCTGAGAGGTTATGGTAGAGTGGGCATCCTGAGATGGAGAAGTGTCTCTCATGTTTTCCTGTGAGGTGTCCTGTTAATGAATGGAAACAACGGATCTCAAAACACAAAACTTAAGCTTATAAACTGCTTAACATTTTCTATGACAAGCCCAGTTTTTGTTATCAAGTACATGTCTGCTAACAGGCTCTATTCATCCCAAGTAAATGCAGGAGCCTGCACCCACAATCACATACTACTCCAGAACAGATCCATCTTTCAACAAACTTTGCACAGATATTAAATAGAAATTGTAATTCCTTCCGTTTCTAATGTTATTTATCAAATTCCAAAGCATCAAAGCCATGTGTCTATATAAAAATACAAAATGACAAGCAGGAATTTTTATTTTCTTCTGCAAGAATTTTCTTCTTCTGATGTAACTGAACTATCTTGGGCTAAACTAATCAAGTCACATGTGCAACAATCAGTGTTAATAACACTTTTCTTTGTATTATGCAGTGCTATCCAATCTGAATTAAACTTCTTTCAATAATCAAAAGAAATTCAGGGGGTTAAGGAGGTGCCCCTAAAGGACTAGAAAGTTAGCCTTTCATTCGAGAGCCCGGGGCTTGCTAGCCCGAGCCACATGGTTCCCAGAGCACAGCCAGAAGTGCCTGCCCCACCAAAAATAAACAAAGGTAAAGGTAAAGGCCCTCCCGTTGATTGTCGATTTGCTCGAGCGGGCCCAGTAACGTCTCCATTGGAGACTTTGTTGTTACTGTGTCTGGCATATCAAATACTCTCGGTAGCTTGCCGGGCTCTCCGAGAGGGGCAGAGGAATCGAACTCGGGTCGGCCATGTTGGCCGCTTGTAAGGCGAACGCCCTACCCGCTGTGCTATCGCTCCAGACAAATGTAAGAAAAACAAAGAGGAGGGACTGTAGAGATAGTATAGTGGGTATAGTGCTTGCTTTGCAGGCACAAACCAGGTTCAATCCCCACCACCCCATGTGGTCCCTGAGCACTTCCAGGAACGATGCCTGAGCACAGAGCCAGGAGGAAGCCCTGAGCACCACTGGGTGTGGATAAAAACCAAAACCAAAATAAACAAAAAGACAGAGGAAAAACTTTCCTGTTTTGTCTTCTTTTGGCCACACCCTCAGATGCTCAGGGGTTTGCTCTAAGGAATTGCTCCTGGCAGTGCTCAGGATGTGGGACTGAACCTGGGTGGCTGTACAGCAAAAGCCCTACTTCCCATACTATCCTCCAGCCCCAACTCCTTAAGATGGTCTTTCCTACTCTGTAAGTAAATATATTTTGATACTTTTGAACTAGGTTAAATATATTTTTTTTAATCCTCAAAAAATATATAGTTTTTTGGAAGAGGACTGGATTTGTTAATATTTTGCCTTCTTCTGCAATCAAACTATTGAAACAAGGAGTTGGCACAAGACCCCCTTAAGAGGGAGAAAATAGGGCCTAGGGGCCTGGGTATAGAGCCAATAGCTACAAGGTCTGGAGCCTCAAATTCAATCTCCAGCACCACCAGAACAATCCCGGAGCAATGTCAGGTGGTAGCCCTTGAGTACCACCAGGTGTGACCCCAAAACACCTGAACACCCCTCCTCAAAAAAGAAAATAAGGGGGGAAAGGGAGAGAGGAAATGTTAGGAACAACAATGCAGAGTTCATTTTACCTAAAGGCATAATTCTCTATTTTTCATGTGATTTCCTTTGTATACATCTCTTCAATCAAAAGGTTTACAAAATAACTAAGATTGAGAGGGATAATGAGCTATTACTAAAGAGATGAAAAGATAAATTAGAGGGCCAGAGCAATAGTTCAGCACGTAGGGCGTTTGCCTTGCATGTGGCCGACCTGGGTTCAATCCCTGGAATCCTATATGGTCCCCTGAGCCCACCAGGAGTAACTTGTGAGTGCAGATTCAGCAGACACAACTCTGAGTATGGTGGGTGTGACCCAAAAAGAAAAAAAAAAAGGAACCCTTGTGCATCGCTAGGTGTGACCCAAAAAATAAGATAAATTAGGGTCTAGAGATATAGTAGAGTGTGTAGGGCACTTGCTTTGCACACGGCTGACTGAGGTTCAATCTCTGGCACCCCACATTGTTCCCTGGGCACTACCAGAAGTGATCCCTGAGCACAGAGCAAGGAGTAAGTCCTGAGCAGGTATGGACAAATATTCACCCCACAAAATAAGTTAGCTGAACTGAGTGTCAAGTATACAAAAATATTTAACTTTCTTTCATGGGGAAAAAAGGATATCTAATTTTGAATAAAAGATGACACTGGGATTAAAAAAACTACATAGCATAATTTACAAATTAAACTACATAAAGGAACAAAAATAATCCAATTTATTGGGGTGAAATGAATTAAAATATTATATACAGGCAGCTATTTCTCCAGAACTGCATTACTAAAAATGTAATTTTAGAAATCCATGCAATTTCTTAATTTATCAAAAAATTATTCTGTGATCAAACACATTTTATGAAATATAGTGTCTCTGATACATCAGGTTTTTAAAAATTATACACCTATAACTTATTAAAGTAATACACCTACAACTTCTGAATGAATTATTCAAGTCATGCCTTATTTTAAAGATGGAAAATAAAATGGATCTATTATGTCTACACTGAAAGTTCAAAACACGATGGCTTTTCTATTGAACTAGCAATTCACTATTATTAATTTATATTACATATTTTCTAAAAAGACTCAAAATACTATAAATAAATGCTAAGATGTAGTGGGATTTTTTCCCCCCTTTTTTTTTGGTTCACACCTGGTGATACTCAGGTGTTATTCCTGGCGGTGGTTGGAGAACCATATGGGATCGGGGAATTGAACTGATGCAAGGTAATACACCTTCCTTACTGCACTATTGCTCCAGCCCAAGACGTATTGTTTTCAGCATAGCTAAAAATGAGAAACTATCTAACTACAATGAATTAGGGTTAAATAATTTTTAATACATAAATTTTAATAATTTGTGAACTATCAATATCATGAAATTCTCTATCCTTTAAACAGATGGAATTCTAAGTTTCAGATGTCAGATGTGTATTTTCCCTTCTATGAACAACACAAAAAGAAATAAGAAATATATGTCCACAAACCTGTTTGTTCTCATCTCTATATAGAAAAATAGAAGCATTCATGAGAAACTACCAACTATAACTTTACACCTGGGTATGGTTCTAATTGTCCATGCAGACATTTAGTCCACAATTATTTCTTTTAAGTGACACTGTTTTACTTAAGATAAAGAGTGGGGAAAGACCAATAATAATTTTGGAAATTTAAGTTCACACTTTTCACACATGCCAGCACATTAAAACTAGAAGACAAAGTGATGTTTCTTCTGTGTAACAGACTTATATATCCATGCCCAAAGATCTAGCCCTACTGAAAGATTAACTTTCCAGGCATAAATAATACAGTCTGCACGTCTGAGCTCCTCTTCTCTCCTCTACTCTGGTCACTGTCCTCCAGGTATACTGGACCTTAAGTTTCTTGAACTACTAAAGCAGCCTCCTGCCCTGACCCTTCCCACACTTGCTCTTCCCTCTACCCATAATACTTACTGCCCAACTACTCGAATGGCTTGCTCTCTTCTTTGAAGTTACTGATTCCATGTCACCATAACAGAATGGGGACGGACCCTATTCTCTCATGTGTGTTTGTGCATGTGTATGAGTACCTCACCCTCTAACCGCCTGTCTTCCTTTTCTTTCCTAGCATTTATCCTACCTGTTTTGCCTTTCTGGTTGAGATATAAGTTCCATGAAGGTGGATACTATGACATACAACTACAACTAGAACTAGAACTTAAAATAGGGTCTGGCACATGACAAACATTTCCTAAGTGAAGGTAAAATGAAACAATTCAAGAATATGTGGACCGAGACCAGCAGAGCTAAGAACAATTATTTTCTTTGCCATGTGGCAAACAGATACTCTTACCCTTTTAGCATATTAGCATCTCTTTTATTGGGTTCGTCTGATTTTGTCTGTTCTTAGTTTTTCACTATTTATCTCAGGAAATCTACTTAGACCTGAGTCAGCTACCTTATTCGAATGATAACTACTTGGTATGGCATTAAGCTCAGGAAAGAATATAAATAAAATACTTGAGAAAATAAAACTCTTCTCTTGTATAGCAGTAAATTACTCTTGAACTTGGTGGTCACAATAAAACATCAATGGATCTGAGAAAGGACCCAGTCGTGAAAGGCCCCTTAACTCCCCATTAATATTTTCCCACCTAAGATTAAAAAGTTTATGTCCAACATTTTACACCTAAGCTTAGCTAAGGAACATACATTTTAAACTGTCACAGGAATGGTTTATCCCTCAGCAACAGAAATAAATATCAGTTGTAAGAAAGCAATGATATGCTTGAGAAGAAATATTTATCTGGTTTCTGCTTATTAAGCATACACAGCTTTAAGACTATATATTACTTAAGTCACAAAAGCCTGTATCTATAATCTTACTTTAAAAATTTTTTGGTTTGGGGGTCACATCTGGTGGTGCTAAGGGCTTACTCCTAACTGCGTTCAGGGATCACTCCTTGTGGTGCTTGGGGGATGATATGGGGCGCCGGTAATTGAACCCAGGTCAGCCACGTGCAAGGCAAGTACCCTACCCACTGTACTATCTCTCCAGTTCTTACATTTTCACAGCTTCTTAATAAGAAATGTGTTTACTGATTTCCTTACTAACTAGAGCCATACAACCACTCAACCACTCAGTACCAGTTGTCTTTCAGTCCTTATTAATCACGGAGTGTATGCCATCTACTGAGACGTTTGGTGATAACTGGTTATCTGGTTTGTTTTTGCTGGAATAAGGGAACTGCTCTCTGGAAACAATTCTCAATAAACGAAACAGTGCCATCAGATATAATTTCCTTGCAACCAGATCTAGTATCAGAGACAATGGGCCAAGAAGCTGAAATACTTCTATTCAAGTGGGCAATTCATTGCTTCTTTAAGCATGTGATCACTGAACAGCCTATGAAGCCAGGTTGCAACAGAAAGGAAAAAAAAAAAGAAACCCAAAGTTCTAAGTGAGCCTAATTCCAGAGGGAGAGAACCACAAAACACAAGCTTTCACGAAGCTGGCATATACTAACCTAGAGAGTTACAGCCTGGCGTAGGGCACTTCATATTGAAATTGTAGCTTTCATGGAAGCGACGGCGCTTGGGACGATGAGAGAGGTCACTGCCTGAGTCCTTCAGGGACATGTCCTTGGCAATGCTCTCATCGTGAGAGACATTGGGGCTGGAGATATCTATGTCAGACTCAGAAGAAGGTGCATTTCCAGTTGGAGTTCGAGGTGGAGACTCATCATGATCAGCTGTATTTTTAGTTTCTAAAGCAAAAGCAATTGGTAGAACTCGTGAATGGGATTCAACTCTTTATAAGTTCACTATTCAGAGAGCGTATGGGCTTCCAGATCTCCTTCCTGTGACCGAAGCAGTAACTTTAGCCATTTGTCTGCAATATGGCTAAATGGAAATTGAAGAGACACTAACATTCCTCTGTGTATTTTTAAACTGACTAAACTCAGGGCCAGGGATGTGGCTCAGTGGCAAAGTGCAAGCCTTGCATGCATACTGCCTGGGTTCATTTCCTGACACCACATTTAAAAAAAAATCTGTAAAAATTCTGACTAAATTTAAATGTGAGATTTATCTAATGCATTTTCTCCTTTTCCCCTTATCTGTGGTTCTTCTAAGGCTCCAATCGTAAGTAATCAAAACTGGATGGAAATAGACTTTAAAAAAAAAAAAAAAGAAAAAGAAAAAGAAAAACATTTTCAGGGCCAGGGATGTTTTAAAAAAACATTACCAGCTCAAAGAGCCAGAGCACATGCATGGTGTACACGGGGCATGAGTTCGATCCCCACACTGCAAGGCACACCATGTACTACCAGGTGTGGCCCCAGAGGCCCCAGCACAGCCTGGCCAAATTATCACTGAATTATCACTCCTGCACCAGTGGACCAAATATTGCAGCATGGCCCCCAGTCCCCGTCACCAACAAAAGCAGGAGGCAAAGGAAAGTGAGTTCTTTTTTAAATTTTTAAAAAAATTTCATTTAATTTTTGTGTTTGTTTTTGAGTCGTACCAGATGGGTGATGAGAGGTGCTGGGGATCAATTCTGGGTCTCCCTTGTGAGAAGCATGCATGCCATCCCTTTGAGACATCTCTCTGGTCCTACACTGTGTTTCTGACAGCACTGGACAGAGCAGGTGTGGACGTATAAATGAACTTGACCCTTGAGTTAGTATGCTGGTTATCTAACAATTTCAGACTCTAAATTGGAGAGTGTAAACTAAATGCCTGTAAGAGGTCAAAAGACAGCTGACTGTCTAGCTCTATAACACAATTCAACTCTGATCACTATGGTGGGTAAATGAGCACCTAATCCATTTTTTTTGTTTTCTGGGGCCACACCCAGCAGTGCTGCTCCCAGGGGAGCATGCAGGACCATGAAGTGCTGGGGATCAAAGCCAGACCTCTGGCATGGGAAGTCTGAGCTCAGCCTATTGAGATCAAACATCCTTTTTGTTTTTTAATTTTTTTTTTGAGTCACACCCAGTAATGCACAGGGCTTACTCCTGGCTCATGCACTCAGGAATTACTCCTGGCGGTGCTAGATGGACCATATAGGATGCTGGGAATCGAACCCAGGTCGGCCACATGCAAGGCAAATGCCCTACCCGCTGTGCTATCGCTCCAGTCCCCAAACATCCATTTTTAAAGCATTTTTATGTTTTATGTTCAGGGAGATAAACAAGCGTTAGGGCTCCTGCTGTGAATGAGCCCGACCCACATTCGATCCCCAGCACCACATGGCCTCGTGAGCATCTCTAGGTGTAGTCTTGGATGTCCCAATCACTGCCAGATATGGCCCTGAGGGCCCAGAGCTCTGCCAGAGTGGCCCTGGTGACCCCCAGCCCTGTAGGGCCTGATAGCACTACATCTTCAGGTCTTCACATGCACCATCAGCCTAGTTAGCCTAGAATCACCCTGAAGACTACTTGGGAGCCCGCCCCCAAAATACTTTTAGGAAACTGGTTTATAATCTTGTTAGTTTTTATGCTTTGGGCATATAATTTCACTGCACCACATTCACCACCAAAGTGCCAAATATCATTCCTTCACTGACCCTATGTGCCCTCTCAAAGCCACCCATTCTCATCCCCTCACCTCCCTCCCTCCCTCCATTCCCTGCTTAGCAAACTCAAATTTGTTATCGGAGTCAAGTGTGTGTTTCCACCTAATCTACTCTGTTAACTTGAAAGGGTCACGCCCAGCTGTGTTACGGGTTTACTCCCGGCTCTGTGCTCAGGGATCACTCTTAGTGATGCTCAGGGGACCATATGGGGTGCCAGGGATCAAGCTCAGGTTGGCCTCATGGAAGGTCATGCCTTACCTGCTGCACCCACCATCTTTCTGGCACTACTTTATCTACTTTTAAAAAAGACCTGCTACTAACATGAGTTTTTAAATAAAATCTCCGTATGTTCGAATATTAGCAACATTTTTTTTTAAAACATCGATCAGGGGTCAGGGAGATAGCGCAAGGGGGGAGGGGGCTAGAGTACATGCTTTACATGTAGGAGGCCCAGGTTTGCCCCTCAGCACCGCATGGTCCCCACATGTGTACTACTGAAGAAGGCCCCGAGTACCACCAGGTGTGAACCCTCCGAAAACCCCACAAAACAAAAAATTAAAATACTGTGCAAATTGATCAGCCGGCAGGCTAAAGCTCAGCAGCCCGCAACCTCTGTGTCACAGCCTCTGCTGGGGGATGAGGAACCCGCACTCCCCAATGCTGAGGCTTGCCCCGCCTCTAAAACCCAGAGCCACAGACTGGGAAGCAGAGCAACAAGAACCCCTGGCTCAAGACTTCCTCATCTGTGAACGACAGGGCCCCAATTCCTTTTGCCAATTACAGGTCTGACAGAACAGAATATATTCCAACTATTCCGGACGTCAAACACTCGGCACCAAACTGCTCTCAGAAACGTAATTCAAGATAAAAGGGACCAGGCAAATAGCTTCTTTCACCTTGCTGATTTATTTCGGTAGCCAGCATCTATCTGCAGTGGCCCCAAACCAGCCCAAGAGGAAAGCGACTTCTTCTTCACTGCAGAGAATCCCAACCACACCAGATGGACTCACCTCTATCTGAAAAGTCGACGACCTGCTCAGTTTCCGAGCCCGACGAACGAGTCTGCCGAAGGGGGTATTTTTTCGGAGTCACAGGGGTGGGCTGCTGTTGACTACGGGTCACTCTCCTGGTAGAGTAGGCGGGCTCCTCAGTGCCAAAGGACTGCAAATTTCGAACAGGGCTGGAATCTGAGCCCAATTTCAAAAGATAGTAACATAATTAAGGGGGAAAAAAAAAAAAGAAGAAATCCTTTTATTTTCCACCCACCCATATGATTCATCAGTAAGTAGCACACTGGCCCTCCTCTTCAAATTTTCAAAAAATCCAACAAATCCTTGAACTGTTTTTGAAAATGAAAAGAATTGTAGGCAGAGAGTCTGGATCAGGTAATGGAGCTATGGATTTATAGAGGCTCATTTCTGAAACTGAGATGGAACCTGATTCGATCCCACTCTACTGTCACAGCTATCTGGGCCTCGTAGTTCTCGCCAAGCCTGATTTCTAATCAAAACATAAGGGAAAAAACTAGCTAGTACTGCATTCCCCGTTAAGTTTTTTATGAAGAATATGCAAGATTATTCATGTCAAATACTTAATGTTTCCCTGCTAGGCAGACTGAGCTCTTGATAAATATTAGGTGAGGCCACTCTCTTCCTTTTTACTAGCCCACTGTGAAAAAGATGTTCTGCCATGAAAGATGTAACAGTATGGAACTATTTCTTTTTTCTTTTTAATTTTTAAAAAACTTTTCTTTATTTGTTTTGTGGGTCGCACCCAGCACTGCTCAGGGGTTACTCCTGGCTCTGCACTCAGGAATTACTCCTGGCGGTGCTTGAGGGACCATATGGGATGCCAGGGATTGAACCTGGGTCAGCTGCGTGCAAGGCAAACGCCCTACCCACTGTACTATCGCTCTGGTCCCCCACTATTCCCTTTCTTGAGGAAACTTTTTCTTCCTGATTATCAGTTCTGGACTCTAAAGCAAAACTATAATAAATTATATAGAGGGTAGCACTGTAGCACTATTCTCCCGTTGTTCATCGATTTCCTCGAGCGAGCCTAGTAACGTCTCCATTGTGAAACTTGTTGTTACTGTGTTTGCCATATTGAATAAGTCACAGGGAGCTTGCCAGGCTTTACCATGCGGATGAGATACTCTCAGCAGCTTGCCGGGCTCTCCGAGAGGGGCAGAGGAATCGAACCCGGGTCGGCCGCGTGCAAGGCAAACGCCCTACCCGCTGTGCTATTGCTCCAGCTTACAGAGGGTAAGGTAAAAAAAATATCTTTTAGGCTGGGGATGTAGTTCAGTGGTAGAGTAAATATATTTCCCAAGTATGAGCCCTGGTACACACAAGACAGAGTACTGCTGGGACAATTCTTTTATTTTAGTTTGGTGCCACACCCTGTGGTGCTCAGGGGCTATTCCTGGCGAGATGCTGAGGGATGCTCATAGAATCATAGGGTGCTGGGAGTCAATCACAAGGCTCCTACAGGCACAGAAGGGGCACCTCGCAGTCAAAAGTAAGGGCAATCAGAAATTTTTTTAAATCAATAATCTCTTTTTTTAAAAAAAGATAAGGGGCTGAAGCAACGATATAGTGGGTAGAGCGTGTGCCTCACACACAACCGAACAGGGTCAATTCCCAGCATCCTATATGGTCACCCAAGCACTGCCAGGAGTGATCACTGAGTGCAGAGCCAAGAGTAACCCCTGAGCACTGCCAGGCGTGTCCCCCACCATGGGAGGGGAAAAAAAGAATGAAAAACCTCCAAGTTGAAATCAAAACTTATTTTGTTTTTGAGCCACACCCAATGGTGTTCAGGGGTCACTCCTGGCAGTGCTGGGGGACCATAAGGGACGCAGGGGATCAAACATGGGTTAGTCACATGTAAGACAAATGCCCTACCTTCTATCCTATTGCTCCAGCCCCAAAATTAAAACAAATTTTAAACAAAAAGTCCTAACAACTGTGTAACAAATTAAAATCTTCATGCTTCAAAGAGAGAAAACTTAAACTCAAATTTGGGGGCAAACAGCAAACAGTAGGTTATCAGTCTGTACACTCCCAAGAGGCTCCACTTACAGAGCCATCTCCTTCGACTTTAGAGGGGCACCTCACCCAGATGACAGGGTACAGGGAGCCCAAGTTCTCTCTCTGATCATGAGTAATAATACACACACACCCACGCTTGTGCATTTCTAGCTGCTCTGAACACTGAGAATTTTTCAGGCTTCAGGACATAGTCAATTCACTTTCTAAGAATAATGGACCCCTTCTTTTCATAGACTATTCCATCTGGCTAGTATAACACCTCCCCATATTCCAACTTGTAAATCCCTCCTAGATTCTTTAAGACTTCCATCTGGGAGACCGCCCTAAGTGGACTACTCTATCTCCTGTGCTCCATGAAAGCATCCGTTTCCTTAACCACAAGCATTTATCATCATCAATTCATACAGTTTTATCTTGGACTAAATTGTGAGTTCCTTGAACACAGGAATTACCATTTTTCTACCATGGTATTCCACGGAAGTCTGGTACCTAAATTATAGTAGCCATTATTAGTATTTCCCTTGTGCCAGAAAGTCCTTAATAAGCTGAGAAACTAAGAAATAGCACATATACTTTAGCTGAATGGTAAATTCAAAAACGAAGTTGGTAATAGTTGTTGAAAGAAAACAATCCTATCTCTTGTCTGAAAAACTATGCTTTTCTCTTTTTTGCAATGTATGTTCATATATAAGTACTCAAATCTGCTCAAAGATTTCAAAGATTTGAGTGTTTAAGTGCTCAAAGCACATTGCAATTACTGTCCCTTAACCTATGATCACCTACTGATTATTACTCTATACTGATCATTATTTAAACTTCTTTTTTCCCCCAGTGAATACCAGAACACAGCTAGAAGGGATCGGGGCACACCCCATATCTATGTCCAAATAGCTAACTACACAGGGAGACCTTCAAACTACCTTCTAATGCCACACTCTCTTTTATAACTGAAGCAAAACTCCAGGTATTTACATGCTGAGAGCGATTGCAACTATTTATATCTATCAATTGTGATCCCACTATATTATATAATTAAATAGAAATTCTGGAAGTATTTAATAGTGTTGAATTCCTCCAAGAACAAGTTTAAGAACTCTTAAGCATTCACTTCTGCAGCATATACACTAACAAGCTACTTAAGTCCTTAAGCATAAACCATTTGAACAGAAAGGGAAGAAGTAATGTTTCCTATTTTACTGAAGGGAAAACAATAGTTTTAAAAAAAAAACAGCCTCAAGACAATACATGTGTTACAAATTCATGAGAAATAGTTTCTGTGTCACAAGTTGGACAGTCCCCCCATCCCCACCCCCTGCAACAAGAACCATTTTTAAAGTGTTAAACCATCTGCCGTCATTCATTCAGCATCATGCCAGAAAGTTTCTGTCATCCAGCCCAGCATTCTTCACCACTCTGGGTCAGCGTCTGTCCTGCAAGCAGGTCCACAGACCTAGAGTTATAACCAAGGGGGAACCTGAGGTTTGAACCTCTCTACACCAGATCCAATCTGAGAAGTGATGGCTGAAGATCACTGAGCTAGATCAGGGCTTCAACTTTCTCTTATCACAACCCCTTTTTAACTGAGAGATACAACAAGGAAAAGTGGCTGCCAAGAACACCTCAAATATGTTACATGGTTGATTCTGATAAATTTTTGGTCACTGTGTGTTCAAAAACCTTTTACTTGGCCAAATCTTTCGTGACCCACACTTGACGCTGGGGACTCAGTTCCACGCAGCGAGCAGAGTCATACGGCAACTGTTCACATTAACTATGAGGCCTGGTCAGGAAGAAGAAAGCCTTTACCTTGGGAACTCTGGCTCAGTCGGGCTGAGGAGCGGGTGACTCGGGCAGATCTCCGGGATGTGCCATCACTTTCTGAACTGTCTGTGTGCTCAAGATCTGTAGAAAAATCGGAATCTTCCGTTCCATCTGAACTACTGCCTGCATTCCTCTGTAACACCATAGATCCAGACATTAGCACAGAAGCATGAACTCTGGCTTTGTATTAACACTGGAAATAAAATGAACCATGATGCTGAAAACACGAAGTTGCAAAGAGATAATCAGAGTCAACTTCCCTGCACTAGATGGAACAAATGGAACAAATGACAAACAATGCATCTTTGGTCAATAAATTAAGAAAGAATTCTTACCATAGTATCAGTAATTGTGAAACACATCTATTTGGATGTCAATGACAATCCCACAAACTGAAAAAAGTACCTAATTAGGGGCAGGAGATCCTTAGCACCCAATGTGGTCCCCTTCCAAGAGTGATCCCTGAGCACAGTCAGGTGTAATCCAGTCCTCTCCCACCTCCTCACAGTACCCAACTCAAATGATCTAGCTGACGTAACCATGCACTTATATAATTGCAAGATAGTGTGAACATTGTGCTAACATCCTTTTGTTTTGGGGGTTTCTGTTCAAAGTATTCATGAACAGTTGTCACATTTAAAAAAAAAATCACTAAGTGGGGACAGGGTGTCAGTGCAAAAGTACAGCAGGTAGGGTGTTAGCCTTGCATGCGGCTAACCAGATTCAATCCCCAGCATCCCATATGGTCCCTCGAGCACTACCAGAAATGATTCCTGAGTGCAGAGCCAGGCAGGAGTAACCCTGGGCATTGCCAGGTGTGGCTCCCCACAAAAAAAAAAAAAATCAGTAATTTATGGGGCAAAGTGATAATACAATGGGTGGGTCACTTCCCTTGCACGTGGCCAACCCAGGTTTGATTCCTGGCATTCCATATGGTCCCTCAAACTCCAGCAGGAGTGATCCCTGAGCACAGAGCCCGTAATAAGCCCTTAACTGAGGGGTATGGTCCCAGAACAAAAAACAAAAAACGAAACCATCAACTAATTCAAAATAATCTACAACTCTTGGACTAGGGAGATGACTCAAAGGACTATAGCACAAGTTTTGCATTTTAGAAGTCATGAGTGAATCTCTTCCTCCCTGCCCCCCTCTACCACCACCACACACAAGTACCACATGGTCCTGTGAGCACCACTTGGAGCAATCCTTGAACAATGTGCTAGAAAAGTTCCTGGAGCACTGCTAGGTGTGTGGAATCTAAACTTTTTAAGATTTTCAGAAAGGGATTACTTTGCAGATAGATGACTGGTAACACCCTCAATGTAATCAAGATGTTATTTCTATAGAATACACAAAAATCACACTGATTGTGACCTTAAAAACTGTGAAATTTAAGTAAGATTCTGCCGCCAAATAAATCGTATTAAAAAGTTGTCTTCTCGGGGCTGGAGTGATAGCATAGCGGGTAGAGTGCCTTGTATGCAGCCAACCCGGGTTTGATCCCCAGCATCCCATATGGTCCCTCAAGCACCACCAGGAATATTTTCTGAGTGCATGAGCCTGGAATAACCCTTGTGCATCACCTGGTGTAACCAAAAAAGTAAAAAAATAAAACAGATAAAATAAACAGTTATTCTCAAGACTCCTTGTTTTGGGGCCACAATTGGGATGCTTAGGCTTACTCCTGTTCTATAGTCAATTTTTTTTTTTTGGCTTTTGGGCCACACCAGGCAACCAGGCAATGCTCAAAGCTTACTCCTGGCAGAGGACCATAAATGATTTTGGGATCTGAACTCAGGTAAGCCACATGCGAACTCCCTACCTGCTGTACTATTGCTCTGAAATTTTTTTTTTTCTTTTTGCTTATTGGGTCATACCCAGCTATGTTCAGGGCTTACTCCTACCTCTGTGTTCAGAGATCAATCCAAGGAAGTGTGTGGGGGCCTATGCAGTACCAGGGATTGCACCAAACTGGTCCTGTGCGAGGCAGGTGCCTAATTCCCTGTACTATTTTCCCTAGTACTTTCATGAACTCTATGTAGGAACTGGAGCTGTGGACACATTCCAAGGAAGGCAACAGTACTATTCTTGCATTCGGTGACGCTGAGTATAAACAAATTCTACCAATATAGACCACTTTAGAAGATATTCATATGTTATGATTTTTGTGAAGAGAAACATTTCCACAGAAATGAGCATGAATACCACCCATCTTTCCAAAAAGCTCAAGGTTATTTGAGATAAAGCAATGTGGCTCAGAAGTAGAGCATGTTTAAGGTTTGATTCTCAGCACAGCCCACCACCCCCCCACCAGCCAAGACACCAAATATCTCAAGGGTAAACTGTCCAGAAACAAACGGAGATCTCAGAAGCACAGAGGGAAAATCGATAGGACAAAGTAGCCTGAATGGTTATCTAGTCCAACAGCCCAGATATCTGAAACCTTGATCTTCTCTGACCATCCCCTTCCTGGCCGGATTCTGGATCTCCTTAGTTTTTCACCAGACTATTTTTCATCTTACTCTGGAACAGACTTAATTTGGTACCTCCCATAACCTTCTGTACAAGCCTGCAAATCAAGAATTCATTAGATCCTTGCAGAGATGGTTTCCTTCTTTTGCCTGTGATTTCTTAAGCCAGGGGATTGTGTCTAATCAGCTTTCGAATCCCCTGCAACGTGCACGCAGCGAATAGACAATTAACATTTGGAGAACGGAATTCGATTTGTTTTGAAGTCCTGGCTCTCCCTTTGCCTAATTAAGTGCGGGCTTTGGGGGCACACCATTAGGCTTCAGTTCGGTTGCAAAGAGAAGGGTGTCGGGTTATCTCTGGGTAGTGCCCCCAAACCCCATCTAATTCTAGAAAGTTTGATCCTACAAACTGCATTTTCCTAGACACCGTGCAACGAAACAAGGAAACGGCCGACACCGACACGCAAGACGCCTCAGTGGGATCCCTCGGGAGTGGGCGCTGGTTCTCCAGCACCCATTCTCGGCTTTGTTGTGCACCCTCCACCCCCACCCGGGTCCCTAAGGTAGGCGTCCGAAACGCCGCCTCTGCACCTATCAGCATCACCAATCTGCGGGGCGGGGACTGGTGCCGCCCAATCGCGGAGCTCTTGGGCCGCGCCCACCGCGGGGACAGACTGCCACGCGCAGCCAATCACGAGGCAAGGGCTAGTTCCCCACAGCCACTCAGAGGACCGGAGGGCCGGGCCCAGACACCTCCCCCGCACGCGGGGAGGTGACCGTTGGGCCCAAATGGGCGGCGCCACCAGCCAATCCATTCGCTTCGAGACGTTTCAGCGGCCAATTAACGAGAAGAACGCCTCCGAGCCAGGCAAGCAGAGGGCGGGAATAGGTGCGAGCATAGGCCGAGGCCAGGGTCGGGCCCACATATTTCTGTGGGGTACGGGCAGAGGAGAGGGGGGCTGCTGGAGCTCGGTCGCGGGGTGCGGGGAGTTGGGACCCAGCCACTGTGAGGCGTGGCCGACTGCGTCACGCCGCTCAATCGACTGTCCTTAGAAACCCGCCACCCCCCTGCTCCCGTGCCTTTTACCTTCCTTCGCGGCATTGCCGGCTGCTGCGGCCCGATGGTTCCGATTCGGGCAGCGGCGGCAGAAGGAACGGTGGCTCCGGCGGGCTCCGTGGCGGCCTCCGTAGCAGTCCCAATCCTGCGGACGATTGCAAGTGCCTCCTGCTTCCCAGCACTTAGAGCCTTCTGCGCAGGCGCCGCGGGCCGAGGCGCTTTTTCCTTCACTTCCGGCTGGGGCACGCGTCATCAGGCGTTGAGGTCAGAGAGGGTGCTGGGAGATTTGCGTCTCCGGCTGACGCCGGCGGGCGCCATTTTGGGATTGGGCAAGCAGCGGGCGCTGGAGGAGAACCCGGCCTCGGCCATCTTTACTTAGGGGGAAACGGCCCCTGTCGTGGGAGCAGGTCGCCATGTTTGTTTCGGGCGAAGCCCGAGGAAGTTAACGGTTCTCATCTTTACCGTGGGCGGATTTTTTTTTTAACCCCCTTTTCCAGACGTTTTAATTTCTGGAGTCCAGGAAGAAACCCTCCCCCCTCCCCCCCAGAATTCATCAGGTTGCTGAGATTTAACCCCTTCTTGGACAATCGGCTTAAAGACGATTTCCGTTGGCTGTAGAAACCCCCCAAAGCTGGGGAGCGTTTACACGAGCAAGTCTCGTGCGGCGCCGACCTCGGCCTCGGAGCTTTGGGGGCGGGGCGGGGGGCGCGCGTGAGACGAAGGCCGGGGCGGCTGCCGGGTCCTCCTCGCGGGGACATTGTCCTCGCCCTCGGCGAGCCGAAAGGAAGCGAGTGCGCGCGGCGCGAGCGGCAGAAGCGCCCTCTGGAACGCGGATTATGCGCTGTCGTCCCGGGAGCGTCCGTCCGCCCGCCCACCCTGTCGCCGTCCGGGTTCAAGCGCCCGGGGACGTCTGCAGGGTGGGGGTGGGGGGTCCCCTTGAGCCTCAGTGACCTTTGCAAAGCCACGGGCTACATCCTGGAGTTGGGGGAGAAGGAGAATTGTAGGGAAGCCGGTGTTCAAAAAGGGGTGGATTTTCAGTCACAACCCACCCCCCACCACACACACAAACACACACACACACACACGCACACACACCATCTACCACCGCACACACAAAAATAAAGGAAAGAAAAAGGAGTTCGGTGAGAGTGTGGCGTTTAAGGCGCTTGCCTTGCACGCGGCCAACCCGGTTTGACCCCGGCACAGCATGTCCCCCTCTCCCCCCCCCCCCCAAAAAAAATACAGTACCTGAGTGACCCCTAAGCACGGCCAGCTGTGGTTCAAAATACATCCCACCACCATCACCTAAAAATTAAAAGCGGCTACGGCCAGTGGTCCCCGGCCTCCCTGGCCGGGATGGGACACCGGGGAGCGGGGAACAGGCGCGGGGCCCGGCCGCGGGGCGCGGCAGGAGTCCGCCCAGCGGGTCAGTAAGTTAGTATCCTGCACGCCCGGAGCCCCGAACCCCGCTGCGGAGCCGTCCCCCGCCGCCTCGGGAACAAAGCCCGGGAAAGGTAAACAGCGCATTGATGTGCTTAGCTGGGGCTGGGGGCTTCGGAGCTCCCCGCAGCACTGCCCGCCCTCTGGGAGCTGGATCGCTGGGCCCGGTGGCCACCGGCAGCTTCGCTGTATTTGTTACTAACGCGAAATGTTTGGTATCGGTAACTTCCAGCTGCCTTACTTGGGATGAACTACAGCACAGAAGTTAATGGAGAAAGTTTCCTTTCCTTTCCTTTTTTTTTTTTTTAATCCCACATGAGCGAGGCTTCTTTCCTACATCCTGAACTGTTCCCAAACAGTGTGGCTAGCCACAACACATTCTAGCAGGCCCCCGGAATAGCTCTTCTGTTTCCCGATCTCTGAATGTGAAACACTCAAAGATGGAATAGCAGTTATTTTAGAATAAGATTTTATCCCGACTTAACCATTCATCCTAGAGAAGCCGGCATGACAAAGGTGGAGCATTAATCTCTTCCTTCATCTGTCACTGACTCTGGATTCCCAAACACTGCAGCAGACTCGCCACAGTTTCAGGCATGGTTCTGGTCCTTGGAAAGTGTATGTTATGGCAGGAAAATGGGGGGCGAGGGGCCCGAGGACTGATTCCAATGGGGAGAAATAAAATGATTTTTAAAAATCGTACTTAATACAGCTTACTTTTGAGTACTTTAGAATGGGGAAGGGGGATTTTGTTTGTTTGTTTTTGTACATACCAGATTTTTTCTTGGACACTTGCGTCATCACACAGTTCTCAAAGTGGAACTAATCCTGCTTTCTAAGTTTTTGAACCAGTTGTTCCTCTGCCCTGCCTTATCAACCAGACATTACCCCGGTTGCACCATTGCTCTTACTACTTACACAGTCCCACAAGCTTTTTCTTTTTGTTTTTCATTGCTGGGGATCCAACCCAAGCCCTCACACGTGCAAAGCATATGCCCCACTGCAGAGCCAGTCTCCCACAGCTTTTCATTCTGCCTGATGCATCTTTGAAATGGTCTTTTTCCAAGGGCCTGGAGAGAGAGAGAGTGCATCGGTTAGGGCCCTTGTCTTGCATGCCGCCCACCTGTGTTCAACCTCAGACATCACATTCATTCCCTCAGCAATGCCAGGAGTGATCCCTGGAATAAGCCCTGAGCAGCACTGGCTCTAGCCCCAAAAGGAAGAAAAATGGTGCTTCTTCTGAAAATCTTTCCTGATTTCATCTTTCTGAGCTAGAGGGAATCATGATACATCATTTTGTACATCCATATTTATACTTTTCTTATAGAGTTTGAATGATGATTTGTTGTACTACCTCCCAAACTCAACAGAAAAATATTTATTTTACTTACCAGCCCTTCTGATATCTGGGGTTGTGATAATGAATCTGGAGTCGTCAGGTGTGCCACTTTTTATCTGCATTGGTCTTTTTGTGCTTCCATTTTCTCACCTGTGAAGTGGAGACAGCCATTTCATGGGATTGTCATAAGGGTTAAAGGAGATGATTGTGAGGAGACCAGAGAAAAAGAGAGATTGCTCAGTGATCTGAGTGCATGTTTTGTTTGCAGGAGGCATTTTATCGGATCCTCTGAGTGCTGCTGGGAGCAGTCCCTAAGCACAAAGCCAGTAGTAACTCCCAACACTGCTGAGTCAAAACACAAAGACCATATAATACAGTAGTTAAGGCATTTGCTTTGTTTGCATCCTGTAGATCTGGTTTGAATCCCCAGCACCGCATATGGTCTCCTGAGCACTCCAGGGGTCACTCCTAAACACAGGGCCAGAAATAGCCCCTAAGCACCACTAGGTGTGGCTTCCAAAACAACAGCAAAAAAGGACATGATTATGGTAAAGTAATAGCACAATTCGTGACAGCAGAAGCTCTCAATAAATGGGTGTTATTATTGATAGTTACAATTCCAATCCTCCAAGTCCTGACTAAGTCACTTAAATGTTTGTCATTGTACCTTTCTGTGTTCTCAGTGGTCTCTCCTTTTGTCTTTTCAGCTTCGCTTCAGCTCAAAAGCACCAAGTGAGGCATTGAGTCAAACCAATATGGATAAAACCCCATGTTTCCCCAACTGGCAAGCTCATTGTTCTAAAGCACTGTAGGGTGTTCATAGGAAAATCGGAGGAGCAGGGCTCAGCTGTGGCTTAGAGGAAGAAATGGAGTGCTTGGTCAGGAGGACTTAGCACCCGACTCACAGAAGTGAGTTTCATCTGAGTGGAATTTCACAGGATGAATCTACTTGCCAGTGGACACAGAGTAGGACCAAGGAAGAGCAAGAGGTCGAGTGCAGGTTGTGGAGCACATCACGCATCTGGGGCTGCTTCACGGGGAGCAGCCCGGCTGTCTCAGGAGGCGGTGAGGACTCCGAAGGAGAAGCAAAGAAGTGCTCCAGCCAGGCTTGTGCTTGAGCGATCTTTCTGGAAGCCATGAGGGGTGCCAAGGAGACCACTTAAATGCTGCTAAAATATCCCAAGCAGGGGTGGCCAGGAGTGATGGGGTAATCTTTTGTGTATGTCCTTGTGCATTTGTTTCAGGGGGGAGGAAGCGGGCAGGATCTGTATCTTATCTCTGTTAAATTTGTAAGCTCCCTGAAATGCCTCTTAGTTTTCCTTTAAGCATTCCCCTTGCCAATAAAATGACAGGCCGCACCTTTCTGACACAAAGTGCATTTGTTCGTTGTTTGCTTCAGTGGCCTGGGAGCTCCTGGAGTTTGGAGCCCTGAGTGAGGGCCACACCCACACCATCTCCAGCTTCTTGACAGCCTGGCTTCAGGAAGGGCCCAGTAAACTGGGGAGTGGGGGGAGGGGGCTTCTCCTCCATGCCTCATTTTAACCAGTGATCTGCCTAGGAGGACAGCAGTTTCCTGTGTGTGCAGATTAACCGCCTCATGTGGTGTGGGAAGCATGCTTTGACCTTTTAAAGACAATGCTAGTGTAGCCAGGCCAGTGTCCTAACTTCAGAGTAAAAGTCTTAGCCTAGTCTCCATCCCTTTGGGAGAGTCACAGAGGTTGCTGATGGGACCATAATTCACAGAGAAATGTTTTCATTTACAGCTGCCTTAAAGAGAGTCAGCACGGTCACTCCAGGTCCCTCCTTTCTCAGTCTTTCTGGAGACGGCCTGGAACTTGTCATACCTTCCTGGCCTCCTGCTAATTTGTTCTCGTATCATCCTTCACTACCAGCCACCCCAGCCTCACCCCAGGGGAAGATATTGGACAGATCCCAGCAGGCTCAGGCAGAGCTCCCCGCCTCTGCAGCTGGGGTTATAAATAACCACCCAAACTAAACAGTCAAATAACCACATTTTGAAAATTGCAAAAAAGGAGAAGAGATCACTCTGATCCTGATTCAATAGAAATTATTCTCCCACTCCTGTCCTTCATTTCCTTCTTCCTCCACTAATCTACCTTCCCTAATCCACAGTCCCTTGAGAAGCCAATCTGAGCACAAAGCCTTGTATGATGAAGCCATCCTTTTCCATATCTGACAGGGCCCAAGCCCTCCAGGGTTGTAGTTCTAGTTACAAGATGTTGTTATGGCAGCAGAGGCCTCAGGGTAACTAACATATGTTCCTGGATGGTAATTGGGTTTGCTTTAGCAGACTGTCTCTTCCTGGGTTCTCCATGCCCAAATTCACTTATGAGAAGACCAAGGAATTGCCGTTATGGATGGGCCTTCATTTTTTCGTTCCAGCAAAACCAAATTCTTTATTCCCCAGGATGGAAT